CGCTGCCCTTGAAGTTGAGCCCGTTCAGTCGTCGGCCCCGATCAAGCACAACCTTCCTTTCCACTTGCAAGCTTTGGCTCCCGCTTCACCCCGCCGTGCCATGGATGAATCTGTTACTCTCGCCCGCGTGCTCCGTGGTTTGATCCGCAAGTCGCAGCCGCCCCAGGAACACCCTGAGATCCTCACTCGTCCTATGGATGCTCATGCCGACGTTCGGGCCTTTTTGGCGGAACGGAGCAAGGTCTTGCATCTCAGTGGCCTGCCCCACGATACCACTCAATCTGAGTTGGAGAGCTGGTTCACCCAGTTCGGTGGTCGTCCCATCGCCTTCTGGACTCTACGGACCCCAGACCAGCACAAGCCCACTGGCACTGGCTTTGCCGTCTTCTCTTCCCACGAGGAGGTGAGTTTCCATTGCCTCTTGACTGTTCTATGATACAGAACTTCGTGTGTTTTGTTCTTATGTTTTGCCTACTAACGGTTTACTAGGCTGCTGAGAGCCTATGCATGAACGGCCGTGCGCTCAACGAGAAGGCGATTGAGGTCTCTCCCTCTTCTAGCCGGGTTCTGGACCGGGCCGCCGAGATCCTCACACCTTTCCCGCCCTCCAAGAACCGCCCCCGTCCTGGTGACTGGACTTGCCCGTCTTGCGGCTTCTCTAACTTCCAGCGCCGCACAGCATGCTTCCGCTGCTCCTTCCCCGCCATGGCGGCTGCACCCGATCCAATGAACTATGGAAACTACGGTTACGGCCCGCCATCAATGATGCCTCCTCACATGGGCCACGGCGGTCACGGTATGGGCGGTGGTCACTCGCGTGGTATGGGTGGCAATGGTGGTGTTGTTCCCTTCCGCGCTGGTGACTGGAAATGTGGTTCTGAGGGTTGTGGTTATCACAACTTTGCGAAGAACATCAACTGTCTACGCTGCGGGGCCCCTCGCTCAGGCGCTGCCGTCGTGGCAGACTCGGCGTTCCCGTCCCCAATGGATCCACCGTCGCAATTCAATATGGGACCCAACTCGATGGCTAGCACCCCTGCCCCAGCTCCGTTCGCCTCTACCGCCGGTGGATTCGGTGGATTCAGCCAGCAGTTCGGTGGCCCGCCCAACAACTACACCCTGCCCTCCGGTGGTCTGGGTAACAACACCCCCGGTGCGTACCCTCCCATGGGCCAGATAAACTCGGGCTACGGCTCTTCCAGCACCTCGCACTCGGCCGCCTCCTTCGCCAACCCGGCCACTCAGGCCGCTTTCACTGGTGCGGACCACGGTGTGCCCTCCACCAGCGCTTCAAACGGTGCCTTCTACGGCTCCGATGGTGCCAGCGACCCCTTCGCCTTCTTGTCGAGCGGCCTCGGTGGTCTGACAGTGTCTGATGACCCCCACTCTCGTCGCAACGGCTCCGGTGCCAACAAGTCGCCCGCTTAAATATGGGTCTAGTTGTACCTACTTCACGCCCCACTCACGAACTGGGCGCTCACACTTATGTTGTCCATATTGCAACCCTGCATTGTGGCGGGATTCTGCGTTGGTTGATGTTCGTTGATACGCATTTGTATAAGGGATTCTGCGGTTTTGGTGCATCGGGTTGGAAGGAGCAGGCGGGTTAGCGTTGTCGAAGATTTCGGATTTCTTTTTCTCGCCTTCGCCGCCCTGTGCTTTATGTGATGCTTTTATTTTTTTTGGTTTTGGTTTTGTTTTCTGGTGGGAGCTGTTTTCCCCCCTTTGTGATTTCCATCTTGCGCTATATGGTTGTTTTTATTTGAGGGAATAAGCCCCGTGTAGGGGTGGTGCATGTATTTTTTTGAATGTTCCGGCCCTCTTCTGGTTTCTTCTGCAGGCACACACGTTGGGTTTGCCCTTTGGCATTGCATTTTAGATATTTTGTGCTCCCTTTCTGCACTCTTTGATCATGGGAAGCGTCGGAGAATTCACGGTCTTGATCTGGGGGATATACTGGGACTCCGTTTGGGGTGTTGGGGATTTACTTTGAAGCTTGGGCATCGAATCGAGGATCTCTTCGGGGTCGAAGCACTGTGAATGCAAAAAACAATATTGTGTCTATATTTTCATATGTATTCTCGTTATTTAGGTGGTTTGACTATAAAATTCTAGTTGATCTGGTGTTATATATCCTTGGATGTTTACATAGTATGTATCTAATTAAGGTCTCACTAGGCGTGTTATTTAACCTATTTTGAATGAATTCAAGACAGATGCCAGTCCCTTTCTTTTCAAGGAAACACTGTTCAGTATAATAATTCACATTTATTAGAAGATTGTTGGAAAAATAGATCAACTGATAGGTACATGAAATTACTATGGTATCCCCATACTTAACAGAAGTACCGCGAGGATTATGGAGGCAGCCGTAGGCTTTCGCGTCCACCGCCCGGAACCCGTCATTGCTCCAACCCAATTGACCTGAGCTACTTGACACTCGTCTGCACCTTTCTACCTCATTGCTTCCATTGAACTTGTTATTTACGGAAACCTTTAATCACCACCCATCCAGTCGCCCTTGATTCACAATGTCCGGATACGACCGAGCTCTTTCAGGTAAGCTAGCTCCCCACGTCCAGCTCCCTTTGCTCCTGACCAGGACGAAAGCTGTATCATGCTAACTTATCGCAGTATTCAGGTACGAGGTCTCCAAGCTACACTTCAGCTCCAGAGTTTGTTTTCTAACCCTCCCCCAAGTCCCGATGGACACGTCTTCCAGGTTGAATATGCCATGGAGGCTGTGAAGCGAGGTAAGATCACCGTTACTTGCTTTCTAACAGCTTTCTCTGCTCCATTTTCTGCCGTCGCTCCTGTTTTCTGTATCAAAAGACGTAATTTGCTGATGACAGGTGATTCTAGGAACTTGCGCAGTTGGTGTCAAAGGCAAGGACATCGTCGTTCTCGGTTGCGAAAAGCGTTCCGCCCTCAAGCTCCAAGATACCCGCATTACTCCCTCCAAGATCGCGCTGGTCGATGACCATATCTGTCTCGCCTTCGCTGGATTGAACGCCGATGCCCGCATCCTTATCGACAAGGCCCGCTTAGAGGCTCAGTCCCACCGCCTGACCGTCGAGGACCCCTCTAGCATCGAGTATATTACAAAATATATTGCTGGTGTTCAGCAGAGATACACACAGAGTGGTGGTGTGCGTCCATTTGGTATCAGTACGCTGGTGGTTGGATTTGACAAGAACGACTCCACCCCGCGACTGTACCAGACCGAGCCATCTGGAATCTACTCGGCCTGGTAGGTGTTTTCCGAGCTAAGGTTTTGGTTTTGGATGAATACTAATCTATCCTTTCTCGCTACAGGAAAGCCAACGCCATCGGTCGTTCTAGCAAGACCGTCCGTGAATTCCTTGAGCGTAACCACCAGGACGACATGGACCGTGAGCAGACAATCCAGCTGACGATCAAGTCTCTGCTTGAGGTTGTGCAGACGGGTGCCAAGAACATCGAGGTCGCCATCATGGCACCCGGTAAGACCCTTGAAATGTTGCCAGATGACCAGATTGAGGCGTACGTGAAGAACATCGAGACCGAGAAGCAGGAGGAAGCAGCCAAGAAGAAGACCCGGGCAGGGACCACCACGGCGGCTATCCTCACCCGGCCGGGTGGCGGCGAGTCGACCGATTAAGTGCTAGACCTGGAAGGATTCAGAGCCTGAGAGGGGACTGGATGATTTGTCTCAATTTACAGTAGCGTTGGGTCTCTTCCTTGACGAGAATCCAAAATCATGAAGTTTAAAACACATCTCCCAGTTTCTTTCGTAATGTATATTGTACACCAATGCAGAAATCTGCCTTGAACTATTGCAAGAAACAGTAACCATCAAATCGTCAACATCATGAAATTGCGCCGTCCCCGCCAATTGTCGTTTTTCTCCCCATGCCCACAACTTAGCCCATGCGGTCCGACACATCTTTAATATTGAAGAGGGAGCGCTCCTTGTCGCGCGCAACACGCTCGTCCTTGAGCATGCTTGATATGGTCAGCATTCTACCAATTTGAAGATCTTGTGTGCTCGACATACCGGTTGTCCATACGAGCATCCTCACCCTCCACGTGTAGTCGCGCCTCGGGTTCGCGTGCCTCAATGACAAAGTGATTATCACAGTGAGGGCAGTACTCGTCACTAAAAGCAAGATTAGTCCGCTGCCATTTGGCGTTTGAACAGTTTGTTGCATACGTCTCATCGAACTCAGCAGCGTCTTTGCGGAAACATTTCTTGCACTTTTTGCATGCAAAGATCTACCCCATGGAATGTCAGATTGCTAGACTTGCGCTAACCGGCGAATAGGGGGCGTACCATCTCGGCGCTCTTCTCGAGATTGTGCGACTCGCTTTCGTGGTGGCATTCGGCGCAGTCAAACCATTTTCGGCCTAGATCTCTTAGGTCAATCCTCTGTGATCATATATGAGGTCGATTCTTTCGTACAGCAGTGCGAGCGGATGGCCACTTGGGCGTTCAGAATGTGTTTACTGCAAAGCGGGGAGATTATATTAGCTATCAGAATTTTGGACGAAGGGGATTGAGGGGATCTCATGAGCATTCTCCAGAATATCGCAAGAAGCAGACTTACCACATGGCTATGAAATGCGAAAGAAAAGTAACGGCCAAGTACGAGATGTCGATGCTTGAGTTCGAAGAAATGCAGACACAAAGTGATCGTCAACTCTCCCGTGATTCCCTCCACTTTCCTCCCCGCCACTCCATTTCATCGACTTTCGCCTTTCAACCCCCTTTTAAACCCCTGGATATCTTTCGGAATTCCTCGAACTCTTGACGGCCAAGCTTCGCTTTCTGTTACTGGGCCTTTGCGCCGCTTACGTCGTCTCCTCCCTCCAATCTCCGAGCCCCACGATATCCTTCTACCTTCAGGTCCGGACCTACGAACACCTACTCTACTGCCGCCGCGCCACTATTCAACCCCTAGGAGATATCTCCAAGTCTATGATCCATTCCTTCAGCTGGTTTCGGCGACCGATCCGTGATAATGGCCATGGCGGGCACAGGGAAACAGCCGGACAACAATGACGACGCTCCTCCCACTGTATGCATACTTAACTGTTTTGTGGCACACAATAAACTAACATGAACGTAGCCACAGAGACCGGTGTCTTCTTTGCTGTCCCACTTTGAGAATCTCTCTCACCGCAGATCTCCATCTGCTGTAGCTTCCAGCCCGCGTACTTCCACAAACAATTTACTAGCAACTCCGGAGCCTAGCGATGACCCCCGGTCCTCCACCCGTGCTTCGCTCGATTTGCCCCGGCCACATTCCCCATGGACCCCGGCTGAGGAGAGACTTAACCCGCTTCAGCAGTTGAATGGAGAGAACTCCCGGGATCGGGGTTTCTCTGGCAGACGATATGGCCGGCCCATCTCTATGAACTTCCACCGCTCATCGCCACAGCTACCGCCAACCTTGACAGTACAGTCGCCTCAATCTCCGCCACGCGGACAAGATCGGGATGAAGTTTGGACCCCGCAAGGTGACAGCCGCAAGACTCGGAGTCCAGGCCATCGACCGAGAGAATGGATGTCCGTCTCGCCGGCACCACCTCGTCCGCTCTCCCCGATACCGAAATTCGGACCGTCTGTTAATGCAGGGGATACAATCCCTCGACTGTCGCCTGGATCGCTTCGTGTCAACCTCACTGGGAGCCCGACAGATCGGAAACTAAAAAGCGCCTCGTTGCCGCCCCCAGCTAACCGCGCATCAAAGCCCAAAATTCCTGCGAAACCGGCGATGTTTTCTCAATCGGACACTGGCTCGTTGACTCCTCGAACGGAACGGACATCGCCTGATCGAAGTATTTCACCTTTTAGCACCCCCCTGGTAGCCCGGAGAAGTCTATGTCTAAACCGCAATCCACTGGGAAAAGCAGTGCTAGGCCAGTACCAGCTCGGCCAACAACGGAGCCACCAACTCGTCGTTCATTTGATGAGCGATCACCTATTCCGTCTACGATCGCCAGGCATGATGCTAGAGAGATGGGATTCTCAAGGACCCGTCCTGGTCCAGAGCCCTCACGGGCCACCAAGCCCTTGATGGTGCAGATTCCATCTGCTCCCGTAGACGCTCCAATGTCTGCTGCCGCTGCCCCCCCTCTTTCGGCGCAGAGATTCCGAGCCAGTGATATTCCCTACGACCGACCAGGGCTTCCTCCTCGACCTTCTGGGGTTCCCCGCCGAACTGGAGTCTCCCCTGCACGAGAGTCTCCCAGACATGCGAGCAGCTCTGTGCAGCCGACACCAATTGCCAGATCTGCACCTTCTTTCCCCCGTGCTAGCGAATCCTCAGCTCCGAAACCAATCCAGCGACAACCTTCTCTACCCCAAGAAACTCACCTCTCTTCTTCTCTTCCAGAGCGGCGCGTAGTGCGAACAGACACGGAAGAAGATGAGCAAGTCGAAGAGCCAGCTATCTCACGGACTGACTATCCCGATGCTTCAAAAGCTAACCGTCGACCCCCATGCTTTAAATCTGGACCGAATGATATCCTGACCAAGTACGATACCCGTTTGCTGGCTGTGTGCGGCAAATATGTGTGTACGACCGGATATCTGACTCGGGTGTGGGATCTTACAACTGGTGACCAAGTGATGAGTCTCAGCCATGGCGAGACCGTGAAAAGTTTATCTATTGCTTTCAAGCCAGGGAAAGGTCTTGAAGATGAGGGCCAGCGTATCTGGCTTGGTACTAGCGCTGGTGATCTTCACGAAGTTGATATTCCAAGCCAATCCATCGTGGCTACCCGCGCATACCCCTCCCGCCGAGAAGTCATCCAAATCTTGCGACACAAGAAAGAAATGTGGACGTTTGATGACGAAGGCCGACTGCTTGTTTGGTTGCCAGATGAGACCGGCACACCCAACTTACAATACAGCTACCACAGCCCTTCTGAGCGCGTAGCCCGGGGCCACACATTCTCCATGGTAGTTGATGACAAGCTTTGGCTGGCAGCAGGAAAAGACGTCCATGTATATCGCCCCAATGCAAAAGATGATGTCCCATTCAAGGTTTTCAAACGACCTCTCGGTCTTCAGCACTCAGGCGATGTCACTTCCGGGACTTATACCACGCGAGAGGGAGGTCGGGTTTATTTGGGACACGCAGATGGCAAGGTTACTGTGTACTCCTCGACCGATTTCTCTTGCTTGGCAGTGGTGAACGTCAGTGTGTACAAAATTAACTGCCTTGCATTTGTCGGAGACTATCTTTGGGCTGCGTATAAAACCGGCATGATCTACGTCTACGATGTGTCCACCAACCCATGGACCGTGAAGAAAGACTGGCGTGCCCACGACAGTCCCGTATCTAGCTTTGTGTTAGACATGAGCAGCATATGGACTATGAACCGCCTGCAGGTGACCTCGCTAGGCACTGATAATTGCATTCGCCTCTGGGACGGAATGCTCGAGGACGATTGGTTGGGTAAGTAACATGTTGTTTTCATCTGTTATTGACCTCCACTAATATATAATAGATGCACGGATGCAGATCAGAGACGTGGAGTACTGCAAATTCCGAGAAATCAAGGCTGTCGTCGTGACTTGGAATGCGGGAGCTTCTACCCCTGGTAGTGTGCGAAATTCGGATTTCATCCGAAATGTAGTCACCCCCGAAGACCCGCCTGAGATCGTGATATTCGGGTTCCAGGAGTTGGTTGATCTTGAGAATAAGAAGATCACAGCTAGTAAGTCATGCCTTTTTTGTTTTTTGTTTTTTTTCTTTCTATGAATGCTTGCTGACGTCGTCACAGAGAGTTTGCTGCTTGGTAGTAAAAAGAAAGACAACGGCGAGAAGGAACACATGAGCCGTCAGTATCGAGTGTGGATCGACCATCTTACTCGTGCTCTTCACGAATGTATGCCTCTCGATGAATCCTACGTTCTTTTGCATACTGCAAACATGGTGGGATTGTTTACTTGCGTTTTCGTCCGACACAAGGAACGCCATAATATCAAAAACATCAGTGCTTCGGAGATTAAGCGTGGAATGGGCGGTTTACATGGAAACAAGGTTTGTGATGTCCCTAGTCTTTGCTATGGCTTTCATCTAATTAGAACAGGGTGCCCTTGTACTCCGCTTCGTCTTGGACGACAGTTCGATGTGCTTTGTGAACTGCCATTTGGCAGCCGGCCAAACCCAGACCGCACACCGAAACAACGATATTGCTGCGATCTTAGAAGCCGAGTCTTTGCCAGCGGAAAATAGCATGACCTTGCGGTCAGATCAGTTCGCCAGTGGTGGTGATGGCTCAATGATCATGGACCACGAAGTGTGCATTCTGAATGGAGATCTGAACTATCGAATCGACGCAATCCCTCGCAATGTGATCATCGACGCTGTTCGCCAGAATAACCTACCGAAACTCCTCGATCGAGACCAGCTACTTGCTTCCCGGCGAAAGAACCCTGGTTTCCGCCTGCGCTCCTTCACTGAATCACCCATCACCTTCGCCCCCACCTACAAGTATGATGTCGGCACGGACGAGTACGACTCCAGTGACAAGAAACGGTCTCCCGCCTGGTGCGACCGCATCCTTTACCGTGGTCTGGGCCGCGTCAAGCAGCTCGATTATCGACGACACGAGGTCCGCGCCTCTGACCACCGGCCGGTCAGTGCGGCGTTCAAGATTCGCGCTAAGACAGTCCTAAGTCCAGAACGGAACGCGACGTGGGAGTCATGCAATAAGGAGTTCCAGGAGGAGAAGCGCCGCTTGGCTTCTGAAACTAGCATCGAGTATCTCATTACTGTCCTCGGCACAGATCCCCGCCAGGCCCGTACCTTGATCTTGGGAAAACAATAACTTGATCCCTTTCTCCTTTAGAAGTGAAGCGCACTTCTTTTTAACATGCATTTGGATGGAAGCATGGTGTATATTGTACGACTAATGATTTTACGATAGATATGTATCATGATGGTTGTTAGAGTCAAAACGTTTCCTTTCATATATATTCTTTTAGGGTATACCATTTATTTAGTGCACCGTACACAAACAATTCTTGTACTTGTGGCCTATATCTAACGTTTCATTCATCCTCAATTCCATAATCCTTCAAATCCTCCATTCCAGGCAATGCATAGACAGCACTATGCGCCCCTCCAAAAAACTTCAAATGTCGTTCCCCCCGAAACTCCATCCCAATCTTCTCCAAGACTCGCCGACTGCGCTGATCATTTTGAGCACAGAACCCAAACACCCCCTCCACACCGAATTCCCTCTTTGCATACGCGATCAGCCCAAGCGCCGCTTCAGTGGCATATCCCTTGCTATTCTCCTGTGGTAGAATAGTGTACCCTACATCTGGCGCTGTGTATGCATTCTCTCCATCACCCTTCATCAGGGAGACAATTCCAATCGGTTTGCTTTCGGCCAATGAGGCCCCAGCGTGCGGTTTCAAAGACACAAGCATTTGGCCATATCCATTCTTCTTGTAGTTGGCTTGGACTTTGTTAGTGATGAAGTCGTCTATCTTCTCTAGTGTATCAAGGCCTGTGTTGCCTTCGGCCTCGATGAATTCATCGGTGTTCCAGAGGTGGCGGAGAAAGTCGCTGTGTGAATGGTTTGCGGGCTCAAGGTAGGATATGTGGAGCCGCTCAGTTGGGATACTGAAATGAGCTGGGATGGAGGTGCCCATAGTGTGTAAGGAGTCGTACCGTAATACAAAAGAACTTTGAATGCAATAGACACTGAGCTGTACACTGGTAGATAAGGCCATAAAGAAGGCGAAAGATGAAACGGTGGGCTCTATAAATAGTTAGGCGAGGGAATATCATTAGTAAGTGCGCTAGATTGGGCGTTCCAGGGGCCATTTTGGTAAGATCGAATAGAGCTACAGCCGAGATGCCCGCAGAGCTGTTTGGAGGAAAATGGTCATATTGTCTTACATACATGAATAGGTTTTATTCTTGGCTCTAATTAAACAAATCCCAAACAGTATCTCCAGGTCTCGCCTGAGGCATTACGCCGATAGGTTCTTGTTCTGTCCGGCGCGCTAATTCCCATAACAAGCTCTGATCTCTGCAACGGTGCTCAACACCTTCACCATTGATATCATCCCGAAGGATGTCGCCATTCTTGTCGAGAATGCTCTTCGGCCTTTCGAGCGTTCCATCCGCCGAACAAAGGAGTGATTGTGCAATATATGATAGGCAATGGCCTGCGTGCGCCGCATCTGAATGGGAAGCGTGATGATTGTCGCCAGTGCCGTGATTGGATTTTGTCTTCACAGTTTCTCGTAGCAGACCGAGGCAATGTAACGAGTGGAACATGCTGATTCCCCATCCTGTCCGGTATGTCTCGTTATGGCGAACCCAAAGGAACCCGCCATCGTTTGTCGTTGTCAGTTGTTGCCAGGCAGCATCTCCGGCTGTAGACAGATCTTCCAACTCTTTGGATGTGTGAAACTGGTATAGGTTAAGGCTGGGACTTGGAGCAGTTGACACAGTGTTTGATTGAAAAGATGGTATGGTAGAGGTAAGAGGAAGAAGGTACGGCCAGGTGAAGAGTAAGCCGAGGCAGGCGAGAGTTAGCACTGCGACGGTGCTTAATATCGTTTGAAGAAATGTTGAAATCTTCAAGGACATGATGTTAGACCGGCCGGATGATTTGTGTTTGCAAGTTCCATGTGAGAATAAATGTAGACCCCCAAAAGAAATATGTATATCCTGACTACCAAAGACTTGAGATGGATGATAAATACGGTAAATTTGTATTTACATACTTGACTCGAAATATGCAAAACTGTGCAGTATTGAAACGAAAACCTGTTTTGTATACTTCTCAAGCATCTCTTGATTGCACCCAGCTCCATGTGGTTGCCTCCCGCTCCATGTGGTTGCCTGGTCGGCACTATTGTCATTACACGTAGCTCCGGATGATCTTTGAGCATCCAAAGTTACTGATTCTTTTGCATGCATACATAGCACGCTGTAGAGAGTAGTCAAGGTGTAATATGTAGATAAAATAGAACAAAAGATACCTACCAATAAGAGCCATTATTATACCCTGGTAAAGAACACACGGTCCCCTAAATTAGATTAATTATGCACGTAATATAAGCACTTGCAAAACCTGGAGAACCTAAATATTCAACTTCTCTAGGGGACCTGAAGTGGAATTGTCCAATGGAGCCACGTACTCTTTACCTACATACAGTAGACACCATATCGAGTTGATTGGCCCGAGCGGTGGGCCGGACCCTTCGGGCCGAGGGTGGAGAAGATCTTGGAAGTGGAGACTGCTTATTTACAGCTGCATCTATACTTCTGTATTGTATAAGTGCTAAATCTCCTTGGAGAGAAATTAGAATAGATTCCCTATTCTGGATAACTTCAGAGGACCTAGCGTACTTTTTTGGCGGGACAATTGTCACACGACACTTGGTTCAGCTTTTTGGATCTCCAATGCGACGGATTTGCTCCTTGCTTCTAGATGCCTTCAGCCCCGCGGCACAAAATCCTTACTTTGAACTTGATTCAGCATTCCATAGAATTGCCCAAATGTATCAACCCCCACTTGTTGATCCCCCCACGCTCCCACCGCTCTTTTGAAACTGTGCTTTAGGAACCAACCCTTCCAGCCACTCCGTGTTACTACTATGCAGCCGTATTTGATTGAAACTAGATACTTTTCATACTTCAGACTGAAAATACACAGGAAATACTTGCACTAGTAATAAACATGAATTTGATACTCTACTCTGGTGTTTTGTCCCCGGAAGTGGAGTCTATATCGGATCCGAGGTCTTATGGAGGGGAACTCATCTCAGCCACTCCAGCCGGCTTCATAGGCATGAGTGGGGTATCCACGGGGAGCTGATGCTGCTCTGTCCATTTCAGCACTTGGTCATAATCTTTACAGACGTGCTCGGTATTGAAATTGGGCCATGGCTTTTTACGACCTTCGACCCACTATTCAGCCCAGTTAGTATCACCATTAGATAACCATAGAATAAAACTTACGTGGGAAGTGACAACGCCAACATCTACATGACACATAATAAATTGACGAAGGATTTCAACGCAGTGATCTAGATAGGTTAAGATCGGTTGGTCTTGAGTTTCGCTGGAGTACTCACCTAGATGCGTTTCAAACATATCGCGGTTCTTGGTAAAATCTGGATCAAAGGCGTCATAATAGTCAAACTTGAATCGTGTTGACTTGCGGAGAAGGTTCTACATAACGCTAATCAGCTCACTGAACACGTTCAGAGGAATCAATGGTCATACCAAGCAATGGAAATGATGTGTTGATTGCGGAACTAGGAAGTATTGCCCACCATGCTCTGGTGCATTTTGCACCGCCGTCTCGGGATCGCTATCCAGGCGTAGGAATTCGTCTGGTGTCAATTGTATGTCGAGTGGCCGTACTGTTCGAGTTTGTTAATCGCTGTTCTCCCCCCGCTGGGTAATCACATACTTATCGATATTCGATTCCATGCTGCATCAACTTCGGCACTCGGAGGCCCACGGTAAGGCGATGGCCAGTCAAGGGAGCCATTGACACGGACTACTCTACTGTCCATGTTGAATCCCTCCATAAGTGGAGCTATGGTTTCAGTCAACAGATTGAGCAGAATGAATGAAAAAAAGGTGATTCTCTAACAGTATGTTGATAGTTGTCTCTGACAGGTCAGGTCGCTCTGGTTATCGACCCGTTGGTTAGCCACAAGGGCGAGCGCGAGCATGATGGCCAGCACCCATCCAAGAAAGGGCAAAAATGATGCCGGGGTAGAGTGGTAATGGCGACCAAGCATTCGTGGAGGGTGTAACCCCTGTTCTTGCTCTTCATCTAAATCAACCTCCTGGTATCCCCAAAGCTTTTGGTAGACTGTTGAATAAAGAGAAGACATGTTGAAGATTTTGGTGAGAAGAGACCTTGGAAGGAAAAGCATATAGCATGGAGATAGCCCTGCCAAGTATTTCAAGCTATGATTTCTATTACGAGTCCCGAGGTCCCTACCTAGAAGGTACATACATTCCAATACGATCTATTGGAATAGTAAGCGGGTTAGGTAATTAATTCAAGTACATATGAATCCATGGTACCCCGGGGCCCGTCCGCGGGCCATAACCTGGAACGATCGACACTTCTCCGCTGTGTATCCTTACCATAACTCAAATAATTACACACCGTTTTCTCGAAGTTGTAAGATACTACCTATAGGAATTCTTATGCATTTTAACGATAAGTCCCCGCTCTGCTACTGGGTGCACTTTGGTCCCTCTATCTTTGTTGCTGCATTCTCAAATCACTATTCTAGGAAGAACGCCTGTCTTAGATACTACGAGTAAAAGAGTGTATTTAGTGAAATAAGTAGTTTGAAGACCAAAACGAGAAACTAAAGTAGCTTCCTGTCTCCCGACTCAATAGATACAATATTTAACTGCATCCATCTCTTAAAGCGACACAGCTAGGGCCATTCGGAAGTCGAGATCACTCCTATAAAGTAAGTAGTATATTACCTACTCGTCAAAACCGTAGCTTCCATGCACGTAAGCAGTGTTGGCGCTGGCTTCATCACGCTTCTTCTCGTCGAAGCCATAGCTTCCATGAACGTACGCAGTGTTGGCGCTGGCTTCATCACGCTTCTTCTCGTCGAAGCCGTAGCTTCCATGGACGTAGGCGGAGTTGGTGTTGGTGCTGGCCTCGTCACGCTTCTTCTCGTCGAAGCCGTAGCTGCCATGCACGTAAGCAGTGTTGGCGCTGGCTTCATCACGCTTCTTCTCGTCGAAGCCATAGCTGCCATGAACGTACGCAGTGTTGGTGCTGGCCTCGTCACGCTTCTTCTCGTCAAAGCCGTAGCTTCCATGCACGTAGGCGGAATTGGTGTTGGCACTGGCCTCGTCACGCTTCTTTTCATCGAAGCCGTAGCTGCCATGAACGTACGCAGTGTTGGCGCTGGCCTCGTCACGCTTCTTCTCGTCAAAGCCGTAGCTTCCATGCACGTAGGCGGAATTGGTGTTGGCGCTGGTCTCGTCACGCTTCTTTTCATCGAAGCCGTAGCTGCCATGAACGTACGCAGTGTTGGCGCTGGCTTCATCACGCTTCTTCTCGTCGAAGCCGTAGCTGCCATGCACGTAGGCGGAATTGGTGTTGGCGCTGGTCTCGTCACGCTTCTTCTCGTCGAAGCCGTAGCTGCCATGGACGTACGCAGTGTTGGCGCTGGCTTCGTCACGCTTCTTCTCGTCAAAGCCGTAGCTTCCATGCACGTACGCAGTGTTGGCGCTGGCTTCGTCACGCTTCTTCTCGTCAAAGCCGTAGCTTCCATGCACGTAAGCAGTGTTGGCGCTGGCTTCGTCACGCTTCTTCTCGTCAAAGCCGTAGCTTCCATGGACGTACGCAGTGTTGGCGCTGGCTTCAGAGTTGCCAGTGGCGTGAATGTCACCGGAAGCAATAGGAGCTCCAGCCACAAGAGCCGGAACTGCGAATGCAGCGACCAAGAAGGTAGAGACTTTGAACAGCATGGTGGTGTCTTTGGATATAGCAGGCTCTGAGAGAATTCTTGAAATTGATATAGTGGGAACTTGATGATCAGACTGAAAACGAACAGAACAAAGATAATTCACGATTATATATACCAATAAGCCTCTCCAATACATGCAATTAATCCTCTATTCGGCAACCCCTATGACTATCGAAACCCGATATTTTGTCCAAGGACTTTGTTGACTTGGGTTCCAATTCCATACCAAGGCCGGGAAAAGGCCGTATGGAAAATACACAAAACTGGGGTTTGAACTAAGGTACGAACGTATTACCGCGGTTGTACTTATTGCTCTAGAAAGGCGAGGGGATACTAAAACCATGAAGACAGCGGAACAATGCGGAGTTTCTCTCAGCCGGAAAGGAGAAAAGATTGGCAATACGATGTATTAGTGTGGCTATTGACTGCACGTTGAGAATATTCGAGCGTGCATCGCTAACTAGCAGGTCTTTCGTCTAACCTAAGACTCCGAACGCCAGCCGTGCCCCCTACATATTGATGCTGTAATACTAAAGTCTTGCAGATGGTGGTGGCGGTGTTTTAGACGTGCATCGCGAACTAGCAATTCTTTCGTCTGATCCACGAGTCTCAAAGCTTGCCTCGCAGATAACGATAGAATACCATGTTACTGGGAATGCTAATTCATTCCTCTGGCCTAGTTTACATTTGAACGATTTATAGTTCAGGCTAAGTTGTGAAATTTACTATAGATCCTGTTGGCAAAACCTAAATTCCAGAGTCCCTGGTGAGGCTGGAGCTATGTCAATCACATCGATATTATAGGGCATGTAGTAGTCGCGTGACTGTGAAACATGAGATCAGAGAGGAGAAATCTAGGTTTTTCGGGGTTGTATTGCATATGCCAAGCAATTCCAGCACAGTCTTATGTCTCATACCTAGGGTGATCTGCAACCTGAATGAATACGAGAGATCCTGCAGCCTGTTACCAGATAAGGTATGGCGGAATACCTTTGCGTTGTTTGTCATGTCTGCTCCCTAATTTGAAGGGTATCGGGCTACTTCTCACCTTGTTCACTGAGGCCCCTGACTCAAACTTTCCGTGAATGCAAGCAAAATTTCGGTGAATCACTCAATGGTAACACATCAAGGGAGAATCACAAAAGAAAATGAAGTATGAAGCAGTCCCAGCCAGCGATGAGGGCGAGGAGGGTAAGCCGTCTGACTATACTCCAGAGGCTTGCCCTAGACACAGGTACTCAAGAAAGCTACTGGCAGTAGCATTACTCTTGGCCGTGCTACTTGTTCTGAGCAATGTAGGATGGATCTGGGTCGCACTCTCAAGGCGCTCTGGCTCTACCCACCATCCCTCTAAGTGTATGTTATTCATCTCTCAACTTGATACTTCAAAAAATGGCTTATTGATACCTAGTCCCGGCCATTGACATGACCCATACCGCCTTCTATCAAGACACTCCTTTCAATGGCGAGGACAAGGAAAAACCTCACGCGGATGAGCTATGGAAGGGCCTGTTCCCGTGTAAGTAGAATTATCCTACATCACTGTAGAGGTTATTAATATATCATGTAACAGCGGGGAATGGACAAGTTTCCATTTTTAAAACGGAGGCAAGCGTTAACAACCTTCCGGACTCGATTCAAGATCCAGACGCTGGGGACAAAGTGATGTATGTCCTTGCGGGATATCATAATTTGCATTGTTTGGTAGGTCTCTCCACCTAGACTGGCTAAGAATGATTCATAATAATATCTGATAGACGATTCTACGATCTGCATTCTTCCATTACCATGTTCATGGCAAAGAAATGTCACCGTGGCCTCATGTTGTGCATTGCTTGGATCAAATACGACAAACCCTCATGTGCAACTTCGATATGACTTTCGTCCCGATGACTGGTCCCAAAGAGTTTAAAGATGGACAGGAGCATGTGTGCAAGGATTACTGGCAGATTCATAACTGGACGTCTGGTTACCGATCAGCATACGCGCCAGGAGATGATGACCTTCATATTTGATAAGCAATATTGTCTGGATATTTAGATCGGTCATCAATGTCTAGAAATTCTATCTTCCAGGCAATGACCTACACCAAAGCACTTTATAATTCAAGAGTAGAGACGCAGGATCCCGTTCTTATGTACATGAATTACAGCGCCTATTTCCAATATCACATTGTCAACTGGCCTAAATATACAGGTTATGCAGGTTGATACCCGAATCACTGCTGACCACCATGATCCTATTTCCACCTCAATTTTCCTGTGTTTCGCATCCAGTTTGTCCTGTATAATTTCTTTGTACTTCATAGTTCTGAACCGTGAGATTTTGCACTTTATCATCTGTATTTCTGACATAGACTTTTTCACATTGTATTCTCCATCAAGTCTAAATATTATGATATGATATTAAGATCTCCAAATATTTAAGAGCAATATGCTAAGATTGGTTATGATAATGCCTACACCGACGCTCAATCCTGAGCCAGTTTAGGGTGAAGAAGCAACTTTGGATCATCGGGATTGAAAGATCGCTTCGAAACCCAATCCTGGATTTTCTCCCAATTCGCGCATTCATGAGTTCTCCGAAACAAAGGCTTTGGAGCCATATCATCATCGACCCAATGGAAAGTCATCAGAGATAAATCGGCGTTGCACATCAGGTTTTGTCGGATGCTATCAATGCAGTGGTCCACATGCGTAGGAGTCCATGGCATAGTATTATTGTAGTATTCTTGGAAGACAAAGTGACGGACGTATTTCTTTTTGTTTCTGTTAGGGTTGATCAATTATCGAGACACTATTTCATGCTTACCAGACAATGCAATTGATGAAAAACGTCGAGAATGCCGTAGTAACCGGAGCCGTCTCCAAGGGGAATAGATTCCCCGCCTGATTTGGCCAACTCTTCGCCTGAGACACGAACATTGGCATCGAGTAAAAGTTCTTGCCATGCTCTGTCAAGCTCCGGCCGAGGAGGACCCTTATAAACATTGCCACGAAGGACGGATGCATCAACGATTTTCTCCTCCTTGGTGAGAATGCCATTGGCGGGCGCTTTAGTCTTTTAGTTTCATGCCTCTAGGAACAATAGGAGGGTCCGGTAGACTCACAATATACTATTGGATGACATTGAGACCATTGAGAACTTGAGTATCCACGTTTGATGAAAGATATCAGAGCTACCGAATATAAGGCGAAAAATAAGAGAAGCGCAGAAACAGTAGCCACTGGAATGCAGTCAAACCGCGACTTTCTTGGATGCACGGGTAGAGGCTCTTCGGAGTGATGGTTGATAAGAAGTCTCTTGTCTTCTTCAATTGAAATCCTAGCCTCGCTATCCATGGTCTGTCGAGAAAAGAAAAAAAAAAGTGGAAGTGAGGGATCAACCAGATGGGGACAGGCCTGGAGGATTATTGTCTATTCCATAGAGTAACTCCGCACGAGTATCAATTATCAATATGCAAACTATGCATGGCGGAACGGCTTCCGCTGCGATGCATCTCTGCCTCGTTCGCTGGCGCATAAACTGTAAAAGTTGAAATACCTGCAGGACATACTGTATTTTATTAATGAAATGTATACGCTCTAGTAATTTTTATTCTGTTCAAAATTTTTGCATCCCAATAATGGAGGCTGTATTATTCAAAATTCCCTTCAGCTCCAACTCGTCTCCGGTCATATTTACCCAAGATGCTATGTCTCATCTTGAGATTGGTTCTCTTCTATGTCAATCTAGTACATTGTCAGCTACCAAACATTCACGAAAATGTGCAAATTGACTATAAACCGGTCACCATATGTGAGGAGACACCTGGCGTGGAATCCTTTTCGGGCTACATCCGTTTGCCCCCAGCCACGTTAGAGGGAGTCGGACTAGACCAGTCCTACCCGATAAATATCCATTTCTGGTACTTCCAAAATCGCGAAAGAAAAGAAAATGCACCCTTGACAGTTAGTCTAGGAGGTGGCCCAGGAGCCTCAACCTTGATGCAACTGTTTAGGGAACACGGTCCGTGCAAAGCCAACGCAGACAGCAGTACTACGCGCCTGAACCAGTGGTCATGGAGTTCGGGGTCTGATATGCTGTATCTTGATCAGTCTGTCCAGACGGGGTTTAGTTATGATATCCTCGAGGAGGGAACGCAAAGCGCCTTTGGAGAAGTGTTGCTGGATGTGGGCCCACAAAGTGCTAAGAGCCCAACACCAGGCTCCCGCCGAGGCTTCTTCAGCAGCAACGACCCAAAACAAACTGCCAATAGTACCCAAAGTGTGACACAGAGCACATGGCTCTACCTGCAGATTTGGTTAGCAAAATTTGATCGACGTCAGTCTTCCAACCCGACGATCAATATCTGGTCGGCCTCCTACGGGGGCCATTATGCACCAAGTTTAGTCAAATTTGCGCTAGAGCAGAACGAACGACTCAAATCTGGAGCTCTAAGTTCAGATCTGTATCGGAAGATGCACATCGGATCGGTGGGATTAACCAACGCCTGCATCGATGTCCCTGTCCAATTGCCACAGTATGCAGAGATGGCACGAACAAACACATACAATATATCTCTGATTTCCCAGGCAAAGTATGGCTCCGTGCAGCAGCACCTTACGAAACCAAATGGCTGTCTGGAGAAGATTGCTGCGTGCAGAGCTGCGGCACCTGCCCAGGCAGACGACTTCGGGCAGGATGCAACTGCGAATGCGATATGCCACGAGGCAAACTCGTACTGTGGGAAACATATCGCCAATATGCTATCCACCAGTGGGACAAGCGCGTTCGACATTGGATACCCAGATAATGTTCTTCACGACCCATTGATGGATACCTATTTTGGTTATCTGAATCAACGTCATATCCAGGAAGCTTTGGGCGTTCCGCTCAATTTCAGCGCCAATTCGCCAGTTGTCGCGAAAGCCTTCGCGCTGAGTGGCGACAATGTAAAAGGCGGGAGCCTGGAAGCGATAGGAAGTATCCTTGACAGCGGGATCAGTGTGACGCTAGTATATGGCGATCGTGATTTTGCTTGCAACTGTGAGTGGAAATTTACTGTTGAAAGTGCAAGACTAGTATTGTCAAGGGCTGTTCTAACAAAGGAAAATAGGGCTCGGCGGCAAAGCTCTTTCACAGGCAATACACTGGTCCAAGGCACACATTTTTCAAAAGGCAGGTATCCAAGACGTCGTCATCCCATTGTACCCCAAAGCGGCGCAGGTACAGCAAGGAGGAGGCTTATCCTTCATTCGTGTCTATAGTGCCGGTCACAGTGTCGGCATGCAGCAGCCACAAATCGCACAAACAATTTATAATCGTGCCATCATGGGTCTTGATATCGCCACTGGAAGCATCTTGGCTGAGACAAGCTCTGCCACATCCTATGAATACCCGTCGTGGGAGTGGGAAGACGAGCTACCACCAGTTGCCGAAAACAACCCATGTTATACTCTGAACTTGGGACTTTGCAGCGAAAGCCAGCGACAAATTTTCCTTGATGGATCAGGCACGGTTCAAGATTTCTTTCTCGTTGCTGATGGGAGGGGGGGAGTGTATTCCCAATCCGGTGCGGCCGTGTGTAGGGAACAAGGAGTCGTCAACTTGGGATTTAAGGGTCCAGGTCGAGAGGCCCAAAGAGTTATCCAGTGGTGGCCTCATAATCTTGATATCAGCAACAGCTTTGGGATACGTGGCCTGTGTCGGAATTGTGGGCGTGTTGTGGGCGAGAAGTCGTGAATATAAGTATTCAAGCCTCTAAAAAAACCCCCCTCTCCCTTCACGCACCAGGTCTCAGCCAATAAACTATTCCGATATAAGTTAGACGAGTTACAATGAGTGTCCTTTCATATATGACACTGTAGTATTCCTTCAGGGTATAAGCGATTTTCTAGCGATCCGCATAGCCTAACGGCACAAGTGGTTATCACGGACCTCATGTGACAGTTATGATGTGCATGTAAGTACTACTATCGGCGAATGAAACCCTAGGATGATCGACAGTGTTATTCCCACGTCAATTTAATCGGGGTGACATGGTGACATTGACTATTCCCCGCACGAGGGGGCTATAAAGATCAGGTTTATTGGATTTGGTGACTTTGTAGAAGCAAAATATTGAAATCATGCTAGGGCCATTGACTCTCGCTGTTGCATTGCCTTTGCTACCAGCAGCAAATGCTCTGGTTAGGAAAAATGACGTCGTATGTTTCTCTTTGGTGATTCTGAAAAAAGAAAAAAAAAACACAGAAATATTGATTCAAAATAGGGAAAACTGCCTGCTCTAGGATGGAATTCCTGGAATGCATTCGGATGTGATATCGATTCTAAGAAGGTCCTAACCGCGGCCAATGAGGTCGTCAATCTTGGACTCAAGGATCTGGGCTACGAATATGTGAACAGTATGGACTGGATTTCCATAAGAAAATGGTGTAAATCACTAACTATTTCTAGTCGATGACTGCTGGAGCATCAAGGATAAACGCGACGAGAGCACAAAGCGCATCATTCCCGATCCATCCAAGTTCCCCGGTGGGATTTCTGGTGTTGCAAAGCAAGTCCATGATTTGGGACTGAAAATCGGAATTTACAGCAGTCAGTACCCCTTGCTCTCCTCGATGCCGATCAAAGATTTCTGATATATACTAGGCGCTGGTGAGACTACCTGCGCTGAATATCCCGCCAGTCTGGGATATGAGACAGTTGATGCGCAGACTTTTGCTGAATGGGGTATTGACTGTAAGTGTTATTCTATGCCTGTTAGCATCTTACTAAATGCTCAAACATGCAGACCTCAAATATGACAACTGCGGAGTCCCCAGTGACTGGGAAGATGAATATAATGGCTGTGTGCCTGACAACGGGAACTTCCCTAATGGTACCTGTCCTGATCTCACCAAACCCGCCCCAGAAGGATATGACTGGAAAACCTCCAAGACATACCAGCGGTATACTGCCATGCGTGATGCACTGCTCAACGCTGACCGCACGATCTTCTATTCACTTTGTGACTGGGGTTATGCTGATGTGAATACTTGGGGCAACCAAACTGGAAACTCGTGGCGCATGTCGCTCGACATCACCCGTAAGTTGTTTGACTGATACAGTGGAAGGGTTAGTGACTGACTCTGTATTCAGCGGATTGGGCCCGTATTGCGGAGATTGCCAATGAGAACAGTTTCTTGATGAACTACGCCAATTTCTGGGGTTACCCCGACCCGGATATGTTGGAAGTTGGTAATGGAGATCTTACTATCGAGGAAAATAGGGCGCACTTTGCACTCTGGGCTGTTATGAAGTCTCCCCTGATAATTGGAACCGCAGTATGTGATATCGTTGTATATCTTACCCGTATGGCAGTATATACTGACACATGCATAGCTCGATTCCATCAACGATGACCACTTGGCCATCTTGAAGAACAAGTACCTTCTTGACTTCAATCAAGACCCTGTTATTGGCAGCCCTGCCCATCCCTATAAGTGGGGATACAACCCCGACTGGACCTTCGACCCAGTCCATCCAGCAGAGTATTGGTCTGGTCCATCGTCCACTTTGGAAGGTACTTTGGTGCTTATGCTGAACTCCGAGAATGCCACTTCTACTCGTACTGCAAAATGGAGTGAGATCCCTGAGCTAAAGAGTCATGGTGCATATAAAGTCATTGACGCGTGGACTGGCAAGAATCTGGGATGTGTGAAGTCTGAATATAGCGTCTCACTGAAGAGTCATGATGCGGCTGTGTTGGTGGTCAAGGGACAATGCTAGACGAAGATCAGTGATGAGTGGGGAACATCGCGGCCACCACAATAGTCAAGCACATATTTTGAAACTCACTTTCTGTAGCCCATGTCTCATCTCACGTTTAAAACAGATAGTATAAAGAGTATTGTACATGGTTATTATTTAGGCAAGGGCTTAAAGAGCCCAAGGCGATATTCGACAATGAAGACAATGGCTATACCCAGGAAAACTAAAACTAGAACAGGGATAAGCATTCCGTCAATCGGAACTCGTTACTTGATCCGAGTGCAAGGGTCGTGTGTCGCAAGATAGTCGAGGAACAAAGAATGTTGGCGTTTGATATTCGGCCAAGTATTTATAGACTCTTTATTGTCTTTGATGACTTTTTGGCATTGTCAGGATCCCAAACAAAATCAATGCCTTTGTGAAAAAGAACACTCGAGAGTATTTAAGAGCCTCGATGTCACGGCACAATCCTCATTCTTCATCACACTTCACGTCTACAATTACATCCTAAGTATTGACTACCATAAATCCCATTCAGACTAACATATATTTCATTCATCGACTATATTCCAGCAAACATGCCTGCCCATCACCACTGCAACCCTCATGCTGGCCTGCCCCGAGTTTGGCTGGGTTGGGGTGAGCTGGGTAACCGAAAGGCTCAACTCCAAGCTGAGCAGGACGAGTAAGTGATAAAGAAGATCCCCATAAAAGAGATAGATACTGACATTTTTCTAGATACTTCAAAGCCCATGCCCCCGATTTCAAGCTGCGACACCCAGGCAGCCGCCAGCGCGGCTGGGAGGTGCACTTGGATGTGATTCGAAAGTCGACCCGTTGGATCGACTGGCGAATCCACAAGACTGGAGATCAGCAAAGACTTGTTCTTCCCAATTTTTTACGTCTTGAGCAGGTTGACAGCCTTCTTAATTTCTTTTACACTGGTGACTATTCCGTTGATGAAGGCGACTTGAACCATTACTCGGTTAGACCCTGCCCAGGTGGCTGCGTGACTTGTCCTCAGATCTGTCAGCTCTTGCGCATTCACTTGTCCATGTTCCAAACTGCCCTCCTTCTTAGAATTACTGACCTCCAGGCTATTGCTTTCCGCAGATTCCGTGATCTCATGGATACTGCTCCTTCTTTCGTTTTGCAGTATGCTGTTCACGCAGTGTATAGTAGGCAGCCTATCCCTGACGGGAGCAACAGCTTCCAGATCACTGGACTGAAGTCCGTCTCGGACTATCGTCCTGAGCTGGTGCTTCCTGCAGTCCTTAGGTATTGTGGGTATTACCGGATGAATCCTCAGCATATTACAAGACATGGGAAGAAAGTGAGGGTGTTTGGCGAGGCGGAGTTTGCTGAACTGCGTAAGAAAAGCCCCAAATTTAGTGGAGACCTGGCTCTTGGAATTTGGCTGGACACTATTGATATTACAGTCCCGACGATTCAGTTCCCGGGCACCTCAGAGCCCATTACGTCCATTCATCCATATATGCAAATGTCACTCCCCCCGCAGGCGGTAGACCCCAAACGCTCAAACTATCAGTATGTTACTTACTTGCAGCCATTGCCTTTCAGGGATTTTAGTAAACAACGACCTTCCAAGACGCCTATATGGAGCCCGTCGCCTAGAACTACCTCCACTGGGTCTTTTGCTACCCCACAGACCTCATTGCAACGCTCATCGCAACGCACACAGACAAGCGCCTCGTTCAACCAGGTCAGCCAGGCTTCAGTGCAGCAGACCCAAGGCTTCTCTCAGTTGACCCCGGAACAGGCAGATGACTTTAATTTCCTTGAGAATGCTCTACTAGATCCCACTATGGATCAAGTCAACGCGCAATTACCACAAGAATATTCGGTGGGCCGAACAGATTGGAATAATATTCACTGGACACAGACGATGGACTGGAGTGGAGCGGATATACCAGATATTGACTTCAGCATGCCTTTGAATGATGATGCCATGGCTGAGCCAGAGGTGAATGCATCGGACTTGACACAGGCAATGAACTGGACCACCGAGGACTTGGCTAATGTGGACTTCACCCGGTTTTTGACCGACGATACTTCGAATCTGGAGTGTATCAATCCATCCTGCCTAGAACTACCCATGGATATGAACATGGGCTTGGGTCTACCAGAACAGAACACTTGTGATCTGACAGGTCTACCGGACCTAACCTCTGTTGATCTAGCGAACCTCAGCTCGTTTGATCTCACAGAGATGAATTCCTTTGAGCTCCCAGAACTGAATGATTTTGATATGGCCGGTCTACCTGATATCGACTTTTCTGGACTTACCGAGGATATTATGGATGAATTCTTGAACCAGCCCCAGTACATGGACCCGGTCTTCCCTGTAGGAATGGATGCCTGTGTTAATGTGCCCCAAGAGATTACTTTTGCCCCAGAGCCACTGAACCAACAACATATGGGTACATACTCTACCGCTTCTAGCCTCCGGTATCCACAGCCAATCCAGACAAGTGCCCTTCCTATACAAAGTCCCGCTGATGGAAATGTATTCCAGTCTGCGGTTTCTGCCAATCGCAAATCTCGTACATCCGCTTCACGTCCGCGTCAAGACTCTACTCAAGCCCGATACAATTTGAGGAGTCGCCCGAGCACGATTGATTTGACCAAGCAACTCTAGATATGAACTGGCGGTGAGTCATTTACTAACATTACCTATTAAGCAGTATTCATTCTTTTTGCTTTTTCTTTTGTAACCATATAGAAAACTCAATCTTCATTTTAGAATATCTTGAAAATGACAAACCTAAAAATGATAGCATTCCATCCAGTCGATAAGAATAAAAGGGATGCCAGGCCCGGGACTCGAACCCGGGTAAAGGATCCCTTGAAAGGGCATGGTGACATCTCGTTAACCATCTTGGCCGCGTTGCCATTTACGGGGATTTTGTCGGGACCCACTTGGGACCTGAGCCAGGATTCATATTACCTATTCCTACCTAGCGTGTTGGTAATACAGATACAGACTGGACGGGAGAAAGAATGTAAACCAATTAAAAGCTATCAATATCTGTGTATTTAACTGGATTGACTGTATAGAACATGATAAATTACCACCTTGATTACATGAAGCTGCTATAAAAAGCGGGTCCGGATATATAAGCCGATCGCAGGACAGTTAGATCATCTATAAGGTGGTAGTTTATCCAAGCTATTTTCAATCGATATATCCCAGAAGCAATGCAATCAGCACTAAGATCAGTAGGTGTCAGTGTATACTACCATCTATGTAGTATGCACAGCAACCCGACGGGATGTCCGTTTTCAGTCCCAGGCTTATCTAGGCACCCTTTTAAATAGCTGTGGATACAATAGGTACAACCTTGGAAGAAACCGGATTTGAATGCTATTCTTCCTATTCGTACCCCGTACCTTTGTAAGATCCATCGCTGGCTTTGATATCATGTAACCATGGAAATACCCCGAGTCCTCTACGTCAGTGCCTACCCTGAGATTCTTATTTCTGACCTGAACACCTACTATCAATTGTTCATTCCATTGTCCTTTTTACTTTGTCGTATAAATACAAAAAACATGCAATGAGGTTCTATTCCCCGCTTCGGGATTGCGCGTCCCCCCGCGATGCCGCTCCAGCACGGTCGCGAGTCTTCATTTACCTCGGTCTAGCTGTGACTTTACTACTTTTATCGTATCAACTGATTCTCGATCGAGCTCCGAGTATAGGTACAAGCTGGACAACTATTCAGGGCATCATTGTGGCTGGTGGTGATGATCGCTTCGTGCCTGATCTTGTACCCGCCGAGAAGGAATTGGTTCTTGCCGCTATGCAGGCGAGCAATATGTCCTGGGTCGAGGAACATCTCCCAGAATGGCGGGTGAATATCTATCGCGCGGATGCGAAACATGGAGACATTGGCTTGACAGTGCCCGTAAATAAGGGTAATGAGGCTATGGTATATCTGACGTACGTTTTGTGGTATTCGACTTTGTCAATTCAAAACTCGTTGTCATGCTAATTGACATCTGAAATAGTTATATTATCGATCGCTACTGGTCCCTGCCCGAAGTATCAATCTTCCTACATGGCGGCCGTTACCAATGGCATGTCGATAACCCGCTCTACGACTCGGTGATCTCCATCAACCATCTCAACCTCGACTTTGTCCAAGAAGCCGGCTACGTGAATATGCGCTGTGCCTGGAGCGTCGGATGTCCCAACGAACTCGAACCCGCTCGATATCTCCGCGAGAGACCAGAAGACTCTGGACATCCTACCGCGGTCGAGTATCCCGATCGCTTTATCGAGCTGTTCCCGCGCACGGAGGTCCCGGAGGTTGTTGGGACGCCGTGTTGTAGTCAGTTTGCTTTATCCAAGACGAAGATTCATGAGCAGAGTCTGGAGCATTACGTTCGTTTGCAGCGGTGGTTGATGGATACCGATCTGGAGGCCGGCATCAGTGGCCGGATTCTGGAGTATTCATGGCATAGTGGGTCGTTCCTTCGCGCTGATCTCTTGATGATCTCTTGCTAATCTTGTCCATTTACAGTGATCTTTGGAAAGCCGGCTCAGTATTGTCTCGATCAACGCGAATGTTATTGCCAGACATACGGTTATTGTAATATGACTGACAGCGACCTCCAAAAGCAGTGGGTGTGGCGCGGTTTACAGCTGCCAAAAGGATGGCCAGAACAGAATGAAACCACGGAATAGCCACGCATGTATATCGCCCGATTATGCTTGAATGAACCGAACTTTTCCCCCTAGACACCTATGTACTCAAATCATCATTTCATGAAGCGCGTTCCTCGTCCCGCTAGACGCATGTTTGACCTCGAGCCAAATGTCCATACTGACCATTCCACACAGTGAAAGTCATCCGTATATATAAGAGCCTCACCGCCATAAATCCTGCTTGCTCAATCGCTTCTGGTGACCCTGACTACTCCTGGGTCGCTCTTCATCAGCCGGAACAGCCAGGAAACCACCGAACCCGTTCCCGACGAGCACGCTCTTGCGCGCATCGCCGCCCCAAGACCGGCTCAGCTGGGCCTCGTGGAAGCTTACGGGGCGTGTACTTGAGTCGCGGCGTCCTGGTGCCGGGCTGGGGTCGTACGGTGTGAAATTCCATTCAAACTCATCCAGACCTTTGCTGTACACATTCAAGGGTTGCGAAAGACCGCCCCGCCTCTGCGGCCCATTTTCACCACCGCCGAAGAGCCGTGGTGGAGGCATGAGCAACAGTGTGTCGGGGAATGAGGAATCGCGGACGTATAACTCTCGAAGGGCTGGTAAGGTGCGAGAGACCAAGGACGAGATAAGGTAGGTATAGTATGAGGATACCACCGGTGGCATTCCATGATTATCGATTTGGGATGTGAGTTCAAAGTGCAGGAGATGCAGCGACTTCGATGCCATGGGAGGAATCTGCTCCATGGGGAATGAGCGAGAGACCTCCTGGATGATAGAGAGGCTCTCGAGCCGCGGGGCGGCGGAAAGAATATTATGTAGTTCCGATGGAACAATGCCAGTAGAGGATAATATCAAAGATGTCAAGTTCGCTCGGTTCGCTGGCATGGAAAGGAATGTGGCAAGCCCGCTTGCCGTGACATTAGGGGTTTCGCGAAGTGTAAGAGACTGAACTGACGGGAATGGCGGAAGAGGAACGTTCACTGCAAATGCAGAATCGTCAAGCCAATCGAGATCTTCCAGCGTGAGCTCACGAAGATAAGGGAAGGAAGCGAGGCCGCCGCGCAGAGTACTAGCCTCCATTTGGACTCCAGATAGCTCGAGCACCTCCAAATTCATCCAGAGCTGGGATCCTGGCAGGCGCGAAAAACTGCCCTCGGCACCTCTGCGATAGGCCATCCGGCGCAGCTCGGGGCATCGGGCCATCAACTCCTGTTTCAATGCTAGACACGACGACTCGTCACTGTACAACCCCACCGGCAGGTCAACAAAGCGGAGATTAGGAAGAACGGAGATAGTCCGGGCGACGTTGGCTTTGTTGGCCTCACGGGTCATGTATGGCATTCGGAGCGATAAGACCATATTCCCTAGCCCCTGTGACTCTCGCACTGTTCGCATAAACATTTCCAGACGGACTTGTGGGGCGTCGATTGGATCGCCATTGCGATCAAAGAACGAGCGGCGTTTTCGTTTGGCGGCTAATTCGATTTCGAGTTGGCAGTAATGGACGGGGTCGATTCGGACGTTTGTATAACTAGTGGTAGATTTGGTGTTAGTCTCACACTCGTCAAAAGGGCCCGGGATCTGTCCTACAGAAGCGCCCGCGCATCCAAAAACCATTGCTTGCTCACGAGCGAGCAGTGCGCCAGGTCGCGCATGTCACATAGCATGCAGCCATCGCTTGCAGATTCCTCGGAGGTACCATATGTGTTGTCGACCGCGTGAGGACAAACAAAGGAGAAAATGCGTGCCAATACTGGCCGAGGTAGGTATTTGGTATAATCTCGGCTGGGCACGTTCACGTTCACGCGGGGTGATGGCGGGTCGGTCGTTCCACTTCGCCGTGAGCTTCGCCGCAGCTTGGTAAAAAGGCCCATTCTGGGAAGATGTGGAAGAATGTAAATGATAGAGAGGGGGGAGATGATAGGGAACAAAGCGCGTTAATGCAGGGTCCGTCAGCCATTAGCCCCCGCCTTCAGCTCTCAGCCCCTAACATGAAACACCCACCGGTGTTTCAGTCTAAGGAGTTCACATCTTTGTATAACTTCAACTTGAAGAGCTTCTAGAAAGACTTGACCCGCGAAATGACTTTAGAATTGTCTTTCTTAATATTTTCAATCCAATGTGACATTGGAGAAAGCACATGACATCACCAAGTCAATAGGTTTATTTTCGAGAAATCGAAATTCTTTAATTTTTTGGAATTAAGTGGAGCAAACACTTATAATCCATTTGAATCCATATATGATTGGGGTGGTCATTGACATCATTGTGGTTCTTATATATTCCAACATACCTGACTGGGAAAACATATCTACCTCAACCGCCTCACTCAATTCGCATTACCACAAACCACCACACATCATGACCGAAGTAGGCCGCCACTTTTCCAATCCTCTTCCATGCCCGGCACAGACCAACAGACCCCAAGAATCTACCCCCGAAGAACTTTGGAAGCACCTTCCACCGTATGAGGCGCAATCCGAGGAGGACTTTGGTCCCATCAAGTGGCGTGGAAAGTGCTTCTGTGGGAAGGTCGCTTATCTCTTGAAGCGGGAGAAGCCACTCAATGCCAAATACTGCCATTGTCGTGTATGCCAGGTTACCCACGGAGCTCCTCTTCAGTGGGCGGCTATTTTCCACAAGGATGACATGTCATTCACCAGTGGCACTAGCAGTCTGGTATTTTATTCGTCTACACATCAAAATCAAAAACACATGTTGCCTACCAAGGTGTCTTGTGCCAATTGCCGGACACTGATCATGGACGAAGGGCGGAATATGTGTTTGATATTCCCTCAATTGATCGAGATCGAGGGATCCAGTGAGGAACAAAGAGAGAAGAGGGAGCTTTTTAAGCCAACGTATGTTCATGTGCTACTACTCCATGAGTGAAAGCTAATAATTCTGCTAGGTGTCATATCTTTTATGAGTCACGCATGCTAGACTTTCACGACGGTCTCCCCAAGTGGAGTGGAATGGAGCATCACAGTGACCGGATGGACGACGACGGTAATCGGATCGTCGAGCAATGATCACATACTCCAATGAGAGGTATGTATTATGGGATCAACGGGGGAATGGATCTGAACGATATCGTATAAATAGGTAACAATATGAGTATAGAAGCCGTATATGGATTTTGGCTTTCGCCGTTTTAGGACTCACCCCTTGCCGCTTTTGGGGGCTGCTAAAGGTCGAATGCCCGACTTTGCAGGATTGATGTATACGTTGGTGAGCAGTGAGCAGGCATAAAGCGGCCCCGATGAAATTCACATCCTAAAATTCTGTACATACTACTATGTATGACGTTCCGTCCTAGTCCTATCACGCCTCGCACAAACCCGCCTGAACCGCCACGGGGTTACTAGATGCTTTCCCCCAATTAGCAGCCCCAATAACCTTACCAGCGTCCGTACCACCATCGGCTCGGATCTACCAAGATATGAGTATTTCCTCGGCTTGCAAATGGAGAAACTTACATAGTACTGTGGCTCGACGAAGTACCACCAATCATTGCTTCGGAATGCCTGTTCTAGCGACTGACTCAACGGGTCGTTCCAGCCGGTATTGCGAGTGTCGAAGTGAGCATGCTTCGACCATGCCACGTACACCTTGGGATGGTCATTATTCTTTACACCGTTGGGGTCATTGGCATTTCCAGCGTTGACCTCGTCGGTCGTCAAGGTATTTTGAATATCGCCCCAGGCCAAGTTGCTGTATCCGTCATGCGCAGAGAGCATGGCGCGCGATGGCGACCACATATTGTTCTCATCCCGAGAGTGAATAATGATCACTCGCTCCCAGTCGCTGGAATGAACGTTAGAGGTAGGCTAACAAAGCGTTCATTTTACTAGGCCGAAGAAACAGTCACTTACTATTCATGTCCAGTCTTGATTCCACCAAAATCCGCGCCATCTTTCTGATAAAAGAGATTATACGCGACGCGCACCTCGCTGTCAGTACATTGCTGGTATGTATAATAAACCGGAAATTGAGGTCCCGGATTCCCAGCGCCAACGCCAGGTTGGCGGCAATTGCACCCGACGTCCGGGTACTCACATGGCCCAACGCCCGGTGTCTTGTGGGCGTCATCGTAGACGTCCGGCGTTTCTGGTGAGCCACCATATGCCCAGGTTGGATAGCAAGGTGGTTGATCCTGAGCTTGGCCAAAGAACCACATGGGCGCGTAGCGGTCAGCTAGATCTAGGCCGCCTGCTTCGAGGAGCGAGCCCATCTCCTCATTTGTTATCTGCGAGAAAGCTGTCACATGGCTGGCGGTCAGGACGGCCAAGCTAGCTCCTAGTTTGAAGTGCATGGTTGGATTGGGTTAAATGTGGAAGTGCGACTGATACTTGAATGGGTGCCAAAACCTCACTTCTTATATAGAGGCAAGGAGACGATATAGTCGGGAATATCACAAGACTATCGGGACCTTTTTCCTAATACGGTGATGAGCTGCTAAAGGTCACATTGTGGCACGAGGATCTGCATTAGCTCCAGTTATATCCCGTGTGTTCTGTAGATTCTATTAGTCGCCAAGCTGTGCAGGAACCACGTTGGTCATCTTATTTGGGGGCCAGTGAATCATGAAACGCGGAACAGAATTACAGCCGTTTAGCTACATAAAAAGGTTTGTGGAGTCAATTTATGCATTAAATCAGTATTCATTATATGAACTGGCGAAATTTGTGCTAGAAAGACAAAATGATATACTGAGCATTGTAAAAAGCTTCAATTATGACTCCTGTATTATTTCAATCTTAATATCTAAACGTGAGTTAGCTAATATGATAGATTCTACCCATTGTTACCCGGATTAATTTGAAGCCAATTTGACGTTTGTTTGGATTATTCACTGAAATGAAACATACTATGTTGGCCGCGGTCATGCCATAGTACACCGGAAGTTGTCGTATCCATTCACACCCTCCACTCGTGCAGAGAAATTGGATATGTTCCTTATAGGAAAGGGCTACGTCATATGTAAATTACCCTGATCCTTGGCTGATAACTAGTCGTGACTGGCGTAAGCCATAGTAACAAGGTAGTTGGTTACGACAAGAGAGCGGATGTGGAGCGTTGGGAATATATTCTGAGACTATAAGTTACAGCAAGGGACAGACCATGAGTTACGGCAAGAGTAGACAGAAAGAAGCATTTCACACAGACATAGGGCACTAGGAACATGAGCGACAAAGTGAGCCGTGAGATTAGGGATTGTAATGAAAGCCTTCGAGGAAAATGGGGCAGACACAAAACAATACGGGCTTTTGGAGAATAAGTAGACTGTATAAAACAACGGAGAATTTTCCGTTAAGAATAACCTGTACCGGTGAATGATTCTTTTCAGGGAAGGCCCAGAGATAACCTCCTCCCCAATGCACCACTTGCATAGCCAGGCCAAAACATCCCGATACCAAACCTTAAAGCGAAGGAGGCAACAATGGCTCATCCGCAGTTTGCGACTAAAAATAAGAAGAGGTAAGCGGCTTGTCCGATTGGCAATTTTTGATTACATGGGCGAAGGATAGAAAAGTGAGAGAAGGGGAGGAAAAGCGGCAACGGTCTTTTATGTCGGAGGGCATGGGAGGTTACGTGACAGCGTATTGGGGCACTAACCCCAACTCGAACAGGCAAATAGCGAATATATCGAGGGTCTGTAGGGCAATCTAAACTCAACAAAGTTGATGATAAGTTTGATATATCGGAGCCAGACCCGCCAAGCAAGTGGATACTGCGTCTCTATTCCATCTATCCTACTGGACAAATGCACATACTGCCTATGTACTACTTCGCCTTGGAGGCGGGAAGAAAACTCCCAAAATCATATAATGGAGTTCTCCCAGCGTGTTTGCGACAAATCTGATGTTTTGATTTGCATACTATCCAAATAACCTTGTCTCCATCACTTTGAAACATGTCCCAAAATAACCTGTTTTCCATTCACATCACGCGGTTCATAAGCAAGAGTTGCAAACGCGGCTTCGGCTATATCCTTGTCATAATTCTCCATGACCCAATGTGCCATCATGTCCATGCCAGCACATGCACCACCGGCAGTCCAAAATTTGCCGTCAATGACCCAATTCTTTTCGGCTGTCCACTTGACATTGGGACTAAGTCTCTTCGCAAGCACCATGGCTTCGTGGTTTGTTGTGGCATTAAGACCATCGAGGAGACCCAACGCGGCCGCGACCATTCCACCGGTGCAAGTGGTGAATACGGTCTTGACTTCGTCCGCACGCTCGCACACAAATCGTGCTATCGCTGGTGGGATCTCGTTGAGATAAGTTGGTGAAGGCCCACCGATTAGGAGGTAGTCAAGCTTAGGACAAGTAGAGACGGTGGTTGTAGGCTGGGATTTAAAACCTGCAGAATGGATTACAGAGTTCATTTCCTCGCCGATATAGTGGAATTCGATATCAACACCACGTTCAGCTATCTCGGGATTGCCGAATCCCCGTAGAGCTGGAATCGAGGAGCAGGATAGGATATCCACAGGTCCTGCAACGTCCAGGAGTTGGAATGGTATCAAGATAACACCAAACTGGATGGGCGCCATGGCTGATTGACAGAGAGGATGGAGGTACAGATGAAGAAAAGATGAAAAAGGGCCATACCAGCCCTTTATATGCATAAAAATAAAATCTACCCTCACACCCTAACCATTCTTCTCCAACTATCTCCTCCTATATCGCGGGACGGAGGTAAAGTTGTGGTTCTTGTTCCGCTCCAAGACGCATCTTGGAAGGTGGACCCCTGTAGAATTGGAACCAATGGATCTCCACGGATACACCCGTGAACCCTACTTATGGCTTAGTCATCACGGATCGGTAATAGAAACTGAACGTTCCGTTCCGTTCACGTGCCAAGCCCCTCGGATTTTATAGCTACAGAATTGGGATACTATCAAGGATTTGACGCCTTACTGCGTAACAGCATACTTTTTTTATAAAAAAAACTATTTTTTCAATAACACTTCCTATTCGAGCTGAGTCCAGGTCTCCAACGTTTACATTCCCTGCTTTGCTCACCAATCAGAAAACATCAATGGGAGGGCTCAAGAGCAAGGCTTCCCAAGCATGCGAAATATGCCGCTCGCTGAAAGTCCGTTGTCTTCCTAGCTCCCAGCCTGGCACATGTCTAAAATGTGTGGCTTCCAAAAAAACTTGTGTATTTCTGGAGCGGCCACCGCGGCCGCCGCGTCACAAGCCAAAGCATGGCTCAAAAGCCCGACTTTGTGCGCTGGAGTCAAAGGTCGATACCCTGATTGCCTTTGCTAGTCAGTCCCAACTGGTTCAGGGGAAAGGACCTTCACAGTATGAGGCGGGGTCTCTGGAAAATGGCTTGTCTACCTATAGTTCAACTTATAGCCATGGGGGCCGGGATTCCACACCCAACAGCAGTCACAACAGCACAAATTTAAGCTCTTTCGATCAAGCTCCTTATAGGTGGGATGACTATCCTAAAATCAATGGCAAACCCTGCCCCGAACTACTGCTTGAGTGTGGTCTGTCTATTGATGCGGCGGATGGATTCCTCGGACAGTTTCGCACCATGACCTCTTACTTTCCATTTTTCGTGGTCCCCTCTCAGACCACTGTTTTGACAATGTGTAAAGAACAGCCTTTCGTCCTAGTGGCCGCATTGGCGGCAGCAACCTCCTCGGACAGGAAATTACAAAAGTCCCTTGGTGACAAATTTAGAACCTGCGCTCTCCACGCTGTTATGGTTCACAACGAAAGGAGCCTAGATCTCCTGAATGGGATCCTAGTGTACTTGGCCTGGTGAGTGGTCTTTTCCCATTTGATACTGTTTTTTTCTACTGTGCTAACCAACCCTTTAGGTATCACTTTTATTATATCCCCAAAAAAGAACAGTTCAACCAACTGCTCCACATCGCAATTAGCATGGTTGGGGACCTGGGACTGAACCTCAGGCCCGCCGACGCAATGAGTGCGAAGATTGGACTTCGATTGGCACATTATCGCAAGGTCTCTACACATTCAGCGAACCACGATGAATTTTTCAGCCGAGAAGCCCGCCGAGCATACTTAGGATGCTTTTATATTTCGAGCGTGTGAGTAATTACCCAAAGAAAACTTACAACTTTTGGATCCTAGTTCCAGCAAAACTATCATCGTCGCTTAAAACGGAGAGTGTATGGCTAATAAAACTTGTCGCTATTAGCATCAGCTGGGTCAAAATGAGGTCAAATAGTCTCCAATTCCAAAGCTATATGATTGAATGTGCGAGATCGTTGGGTCAAGAATTGGAGCATCCAACGGACGCATTGCTTTTACCACTAGTCCAGCTTCAAAACATGGCCGAGGTGAATCACCGCAGTCTTTCAGCTGTCGATAACACTCTACTTGATCACATGATTGGCCGAGATCTTGAATTGAAGGTTCAATCCTTCCAAGCTGAATTCAAGAACTGGAAGCACTTGCTTCCACTCGTATATCAGCAACCGAGTAAGTTCAATCGGTCGAAAGTCCAATGGAACCAATGCTAATGTCCCATAGACGGGATTGACCTGGCCTGTGAGGTTGCTGTAATGCATGTCTATGAGATGAACATAGTCAATATCTGTGCACCGAAAATGCAGCAAAAGATGGACCCCTTCAGACATTCAACAAGCTCATCTTCTACCTCTCAAATTCGCCTGGAAGTGCTCTTTCTCTGTTTGAAATCAGCGGGACAGGTTGCTCGGAATTTTCTCTCCATCCCAGTATCTGAATACGGCAGTCTCTCTTACATACAGTGGTCTGGCATCATATATGCCATTACTCTCATTTATAGATTGACAGTCGGAATTCCCCAGCTTCCCGATTGGGATGTTCGAGTTGCGCGAACGACCGTTGACTTTGGCTTTATCCTAGATGCTTTGTGCAGTCGCTTCAACAGTGTAGCCCTTCGTGGTCACGTCGTATTGGAGAATGGAGACCTATTCTCAATGATGGGCCCAATCTTTGGCAATATCAAGCAAACATACGACCGACTCAAGCAGTTGCCGCAGAATGATAGTGCAGACGACAGCAGGCCAGTTCATGCCACTAGCTTTTTGCCCTCTGCGCCCACACCCCAGCACCCATGCCCTACATTGCAGACCTGACGGACAGACCTGGATAATATCTTAGTGCAAGCCTCCAGGTAAAAGTTTTGCTAGTAGAAAGACAAATGATGATATACCATCGAGTATTGCACTCAAAAATCTTAATTAACGTATTTCACATGCGAGTGGTCCACGCCAAAACACATAGTAAAAGTAATATAGTTGTCACTTATATTTCAGCAACTAACGTTTTTATCTGGTTTCATGACTTGCCGATAATGATTGATAAGCATTTTCAATATTATATATCAATCTTAAATGAATCGAATACTTCCATTGTTGTGGTATTAAAAATTACGCCGCTGGATTCTACAAATATATGTATCTCAATTACCAGCCTATTAAATTCCTTTGAAATATATAAAGTAGCTAGATATCATATAAGTAGCATTGAGCTGCAAGAACCAATTTATATACAAAACCGTTGTTGCACTAACATGATGTAATTCATCGCTTTTACTATGTGTTTTGGCGTGGACCTCGCATGTGAAATACGTTACTGCTTCTGATTTGTCACTCATTTCAATCTGCCGCAATTCGGCAAAACAGCCGGATCCACCTCCACAAAGTCTATCTTGCGACAAACATCCGCTAAACTACTTTGGTATGTCCGCCGCTGGTCGGTTCTGGTAACCAGATCTCCATAGTATTTTACACACTACATGACTTACGACCGCACCGTGACAACCAAGTACCCGTTTGTAGTATTATTGATCTCATAGAAAGTGGTGACGGTCGTAAGTCATGGTATGGGTGTGTAAAATACCAGAATACCATAATACTTTACACTGGATTACTGCGGCCAGCGGGAGATATACCCAAAGTAGTTTAGTGGGGAGTGTGTCCCTGCAGTCGTTCCCAACTTTATTTGCACCGAAAACAGACCACGTCATAATTCACCCCTGCCCGAGATGTGGGGTGAGAGAACAGGCCGGAGTATGGCCGGCATTGTCTTGAGCTCCGAGTTTACTGCCGAGTTTCAGCGACATAGCTCCGGACATATCTCGAGGCATGCCGATTGTTTAGCTGTTCTCACAAGTATGTGGGGTGAGATTTTGTATTTCCCCGAAGATTTGCAGAGCGGGGAAATCCCCATGGGGCATGCCAAACATGCAAAGTAGTAGTAGGGGACTTCTCTTAGATATAAATTGTGTTGAATTTCCTTGAAAGAGTTTCATCACATTCCAAGATGAACATTTTCCTCATGGCCCTGGGCCTTCTCGGGACGGCATCCGGCCTGACCTATACCGAACCATATCGTCCTCAATATCATTTCTCCCCTGCCCGAAACTGGATGAACGATCCTAGTGGGCTGTTGTATCACAATGGCACATACCATCTTTACTTCCAGCATAACCCCGGTGGTATTGAATGGGGGAATTTGTCGTGGGGTCATGCAATCAGTCAAGATTTGACCCACTGGGAAGAGCGCCCTGTTGCTCTACTTGCGCGCGGATATCCCAATAATGTCACCGAGATGTACTTTACCGGAAGTGCAGTAGCAGACGTGAACAACACGAGTGGGTTTGGGGTCGAGGGAAAGACTCCCTTGGTCGCCATGTATACTTCTATGGTACGTTTATGGCTATCTCACTTAATCACTCATGGAGACTGATATCCGTTTCTCATAAAGTATCCCATTGCTCAAGATTTGCCAAGCGGGAAACATGTTCGCACAGAGCAGCAATCTCAGTCAATCGCCTATAGTCTCGACGAGGGCGAGACCTGGACAACATATGATGCCGAGAACCCCGTCATTCACAACCCACCCTCTCCTTATGCAGCAGAATTCCAAAACTTCCGGGATCCCTTCGTGTTCTGGCATGACGATACACAGAAATGGGTCGCCATCATAGCTTTGGCTACAGCCCATAAACTAGCAATATGGACTTCTGACAATCTCAAAGAGTGGTCTTTCGCCAGCGAATTCGGACCCTACAATGCTGTTGGCGGCGTGTGGGAATGTCCCAATTTGTTTCAAATGCCCGTCAAAGGACACCCGTCAGCCAAGAAATGGGTCATGGTCTTGGGACTCAACCCTGGTGGACCACCTGGCACGGTCGGATCAGGCACGCAATACTTTATTGGCGACTTCAACGGGACAACTTTCGCAGCTGATCCCGATAGCATCTATCCGGGGAACAAGTCTGCCAACTGGATGGATTGGGGTCCGGACTTTTACGCGGCCGCTAGTTATAATGGACTTCCTGATGGAGACGTGGTCCAGATCGCGTGGATGAATAATTGGCAGTACGTTAGGATGCTCCCGACAAGCCCTTGGCGAAGCGCCACATCTATTCCCCGTCAGTTATCTTTGAAGATGGTCAATAAAAAAGTGACCCTCCTTCAACAACCGCATCATAGCTGGCAGGGTGTTGCCAGTCACCATACCTCGAAGCGTTCCTGGAAATCGGTATCGAAAGGATCAACTAGGCTTCATTCCCCAGGCAAGGCATTCAAGCTCAACTTGAGCTTTGATGATCATGACTCCGGCAGTTCTCTGGCCTCTACATTTGCGATAGCTGTCCGTGCTAGCTCTGACTTCAAGCAAGAAACACTCATCGGGTATAACTTTACCAGCAAAGAAGTCTTTGTGGATCGGCGAAATTCGGGAGTTGTATCTTTTGACAAGACATTTGCAAGCTTGTATCACACACCACTGTCAGCGAGCGCGGATAAACGTATCAACCTGCAGGTCTTCGTGGATTGGTCCAGCGTTGAGGTCTTTGGGGGTCAAGGAGAGGTGTCTTTGACGGCTCAGATATTCCCAGAGGGAAATGCAACTGAAGCGCGGTTTGTCTCGGATGGGGTGACTCGGAATGTCAGTCTTCAGATTGAGGGGATGACTTCGGCGCATTAAAATAGCCATAGAGAGCCTAATTATTGTTGTGGTGATGCCTTGGTGCCTCAGAGGCATCGACCCCTCAGATAGTTAACTAGATAGTTCGGGAGTTCGCTTCTTTCTCAATACAACTCTCTCCCTCCTAGCTTTGTGAGCCTTGTAGTCTCAACAATTATATAAAATCATGACATCCCCATAAGGTTCAAAACGAGGCTTGTGGTCAAAGCTGTAAGATGCCCCTTCTTATTCGGGAATACTTCCATAGTTCCTTCCATTCCTGGCCAAGCACCCTTGGATTGATTTCTCCCTTTCTGTTCCCTAACAGCCCGGGTCAAACTACAACTACAAGTTGGCATCCAAAAGGATTCACTCAGAAAGGGGAGACGACGTCATTTGACTAGGTAACAGGCTAACGGCATGAAATGTAGACATTCACTCATAGTACGGCTTCGTGTTCATGAGCTTGTAGGCAACATCCTTGTCATGACCGAAAACCAACGTCGCGTTATACAGTCTTTGAAGTCTGCGAATCATGTTGAGACTGCGATACCACGCATTGTGATCTCTAGCTAATCCTCCGTGGGGATGACCCAGGTCATAGTTTTCTGCAACGTGAAACTGGTCCGAGGTCCAAATGAATGGTCCATCATTGGCAAGATTAACTTGCATAATACAGAGTCCAGGCGTGTGGCCGGGTGAATGGTGGAGGGTTATGCCTTGGAAAAGGTCAAGTTGCGACTCATTGAAGGTGCTCCACTTTAGCTCTTCGAGGAGCATATAATGCCCCAGGTAGACGCCCAAGTCTGCCCCGGTTGCTACAGCCCAGCAAGCGTGCTTGAATTCTTCTTCGTGGACGTAGATTGGGACATCTGTGTTCGCAAAATGCTCAAGTCCTCCGGCGTGATCAAGGTGCAGGTGGCCAATTATGACCGCTTTGACGTCTTTGATGTCGTTTCCAGTGGCTTTGATGGCGTTCGGGAGTTTATTGTTCTCCGAGTATTCGGTTCGCGGAAAGACATCTGTGATTGGCGCTGGCCATTTCTGTATGCTATTTAGTTATATTGAACATTGCAATGCAACTTGACATACCACGTCTAGATCCTCTGCACAGCCCGTCTCATAAAGAATAAGGCCCACTCCCGGGTACTCAATCAGAGCCGAAAGTAGCACCAAATCCCGACGTTTGTTCACTGGATTGAGGTTGCTCACCGAGCTTGCATTCCCACCTCGGAAGATCCTGTGCACAGTTAGTTGGAAGCACACGACTTGACATCCCGGCAAACGCAAACCATGATTCATCTGCTTGGAGGGTACCCAAGTTCAGAATATGCATTCTTGTCCCAGCAGGACACTTGAATGCTGGGACCGCTGCAGACACTAGCAGAGAGGCGGCGTCAATGGAGAAAGTCATATTTGAGGTCTCAAATAGCCAAGGAGGAATTTTGAGTCACTGAGGGTTGGAAGAGCCGATGAAGTAATAACGGTCTTCCCCGCATTGGACGGAGGAAGACCGATATGACAGAAGTACTTAATGAGGGGGTTAATATACAGGATTTCGATCCGTTGGCCAGTTGGGATTTGTAGACTTGTTTTTCGATACATGTCAGGAGCATCTATACAAAATACCCCCGTCAAGCTAGGCGGTCCGAGCCCGTCCGCTGGTCCAGGGATGGCGTTCTGGCGCAAAGACTTCTCCCGGCAGATCTACCGATCCACATTCTCTCAGGCAGAGGCAATGGACGAATGATGAAACAGAACGGAACAATCATGACTTGGTATTCCCGACTTGTCCCGGACACTCGGTGGAGACCACCATTATAAACCCCTCTGTCAGATCTCAGCTGAATTAGGAAACCTTCCTTGGCTCTAGCGACCAGCTCCAGCTCCAGCTACAATTCGGAGTCAATGTCAGAAGACCATGACATCTAAATTTCCAGTTCTTATATGTACGTTCTTTCGTTTGATCCGCAGGGTACGGTCTCGCCTTTGACTGCTAGAATTGTGATTGGGGAAGGTACATGTACAAACAAATGTCAAGGAAGCAGATAACAGAGTACATTGTATAATGGAGCAACGTTGGACGAGAATCGCACATTATATCATCAAAAGGGTTAGAATATGGGATCATCTCCAAGACTATATGTATATGTTTATATGGAGTACATATGTATCAAGCTATATATAAGCCGCCTGTGTAACGGCGTCAAGTGACCGAGATTAGATTGGGAGAGAATCTCTGCCTTCCTCGAACTTCTTTTTTATCACACTATTTAGTCTGCGTCTCTGCTACATTCGTTATACACAATCTCCTTTGCTTCTTTCTCCGATATACGTTTGCCGTTGAATCGAAAATGGACCCCATTCTGGCAGAAAGCAAACTCGCCTATAAGCAATGCCTTTACTGGGCAGATGGTTCCGTATGTGGCCTCTCCTCCTGTGTAGAGTACAGCTACCCTGGCCGTCTAGCTCACGTACAAGGCACAGCTGGGGTGGCCGGTGGATCTCCCAGTCTCGACCAACTCGCCATCTGGACATTTAGATGCTTGGGCTAATATCACCTGGTCACGGCGCCCAACCTTACAATTAACATTTAACATTGACTTACCTTATTCAATAGCAAACAGCCCGAGACATGAAGATATTTCTGCCCAATGTATACATGTAGACATGTTATAGATGACCGAGATCCCATGACATCAGAGAACCCACCCAATCACAACACTCTTATTTTCTTCCCCTCCATTCCATATTCTCACTTATTCTCAGCACATCTCTCAATACTACACCATGTCTTGGTCACAGAAAACCTTTACTCTTCCCTCTCGCAGCCGCGGTTCCTACCTCATCACCGACCATGTCCTCCAAGAGGTCCCAGACATCCGCGACTACAAAGTCGGCATGCTGAATCTGTTCGTGCAGCACACCAGCTGTGCGCTTTCGCTGAACGAGAACTGGGATGACGATGTTCGCGCTGATATGAGTGATGCGCTAGACCGTATTGCGCCGATGGATAAGAAGGGGAATCTGTATCGTCATTCTGCCGAGGGCGAGGATGATATGCCGGTATGTCTTTGGAGATGGTAGTGGATTCAGGGTTTGGGTTAGATCGCTATTCTCGCTGCATGAGTTTATAGTCTAGCTCAGTCTAGCTTCCACAATTCTTTTTACTCTGTCTTTGAGATCCAGGCACTGATTTCCCAACAGGCTCACATCAAATCTGCGCTCATTGGCGCCTCGGTCAATATCCCTATCACGAACGGTCGCTTGGCAACAGGAACCTGGCAGGGCATTTGGTACCTGGAGTTCCGGACGAGTCGGCACAGTCGCAAGGTTGTTGCGACAATCCAGGGACAGAAGGCTTGACTGGACGGCGGGGTTGAGCGCGGGCAATTGTGATTTATCTAGAATGTCCCGGCTACGAGTGATGCAAGGTACAAAAATAGGGATTTGGGTGGGCGAGAGAGTCGACAAATAACCCAGGTTATATGATATCATCATATGCAGGTAGTCGGAGTAGTGAACACATTTTTGAGGACAATACCATCATCACACACGATAACACGATCGAAGGGCAGTGCATCCATTCATCGATATTCTGTACACGGCCTCAGGCCCAAAACCAATTGAAAAACGCAAATTGTGCAACGCCGATAAAGGAAATCTCATGCTAGCCGTCTATCGCTGTTCCAAGCCACCCTCTGTCACACGCTGGGACTCGTTCACCTCGACAGCGTCACCGGTGGGCTCGAGGGGGTAGCTGGTGGCGGGCAGGGACTTCAGGTAAGCGCGGTGCTGCTCCTGGGCCTAGGGGGATGTTAGCAAGGATCCAATGGTAGCCGGGAGGACGGCGGGTATGAATGGACATACAAAAGGAACACCGCAGTATCCGCAGGTAGCGATTTCGGGCTTGTCAGTGTTGATGAAGACCTTGGGGTGGCCGAGAGGACCACCGCCACCATCGCAGCTGACAACCTTGGACTTTGTCCAGCGGACGGGCTGCCTGTGAATGAGCTCGATAGCGGCATATGGTTGCGGCTAAAGGGTAGTAAGTTAGTCTTCGACCTTGCTATGCATTGCCAACAACAATTGCATAAGCACTGCTATGTTCAGTGGATTCGCACCTGGGTCTCCATAATTGTCTGCTCAAAGCGAGGTCCAACCATGGCCTTCTCGCGCGGCTGCTGGCTGGCGGCCCAGGTGGTAGCGCGGTTCGGGGCCTGCATGCTCCGGATGCGTTCGCCAACCTCAGGGGCCTCCTGGAGAGTACTGTCATTACGCTGACGTCCAAACTCCTCGGTAGGCACGGCATTGGTTGCAGAGACATTCGCCGTGGGCTTCCGCGGGGTCGGGTCGTTGGCTTGGATAGGGTTCTCGTTCAGACGGGGCACGGTTGAGGAGTATGCGCGGACAACGAAGCGCGGGCGGACCGACGCAAAGGTCGCAATTCTGCGGCCACAGGACATCATACTGGGCAAATTTCCCCGGGGTGGTTGGTTATGACGGAGGACAAAAAGAGCGTTGGCAAGGGACTAAGTGCAAGTCGGCACTGAATAATCCGTGAGGTGTGGTTTGGTGGATGCTCACCGCTTGCTGGTTCGAGATAGCTCCACCCTGCACTTGGATTTTCTGCCACATCATTTTAATTTGCGTTTCGCAAGTAAAGTGGTTTAACATCTTTGCTCTTGTTTTTGAATTGGATTTGATATCTCTCGATATTTTACCCTTCAACTCACCATGGCTGGCTCTTCTTCCCCGGCTGGAAAGCCCGAGAAGACCATGTCGTCAAATCTATTGACCATGAAGGTATGAATGACAGTTTCCTGATTAACAGCCATGCAACTAACGCCATATCCCAGTTTATGCGACGTGCTGCAGCTGCGAAAGAACCTCAAAGTCCATCTTCTGATGCCAGCTCGCACAATTCCAAGCGCCCTCGTCTTTCCACCGAGGCCGAAAGCCCTCGCACCTCAGATATGGATGCGATCGCGGCTGCACTTGCTGCCGAGGAAGAAAAGCGACAACAAGCTGTCGCACGAGCAGCTGCAGAGGCGGGTGAGACACATTGGGTCTTGAACGTCCCTGCGACGCCCCAGTCCACTCAGCAGCCTATGGTATTGGCGGCAGACTCGTTGGATGCAGATGACGATACCTACTCCGGTGGACGGCGGGCGTATGGCAATTTCAAGCGCAAAGAGCGCAAGGTCAGTATTTCCCTCTCTCAGACTGGATGTTTTGTACTCATCCCTCTTAGCCACAAATTACATCAAGCAAGGAGGGCAATGACGAGGGTGATGGTGAGGATGATTACGAGGACGACATAATCAACCCGTCGAATCCACAAGAGGTCGCCAAAATGATTGAAAAAGCCAGACTCAGGGAAGAAGCCAAAGCCAAAGGAAACACACGACCGACAAAGCTGTCTGAACTCACTAGTATCTCTGGGTCTGGCCGGGGGTCTTTGTTGGGAGCTCCGTCCTCTGACAAGAAGAAGAAGAAGCGCAAGAGCTACTAAACGGATGATCTTCCACGATATATCCTCGAATGTTTTGATTGGCGTTTTAGCATAGCATGTATGGTGTCTTGGGGTTCAATCACTCAATTTTCTTTTCTCGGTATCGTGGTGCTTAGATTACTATAATCCTTGACCTAGTCTAGTTACTTTTGTGTCCACTATACAAGTATATAAGCAACGTAGTGAGTTCGGAATCTCAACAGTTTGCAAGTACACGTCTAATTAGCACCTTCCATCATATGAACAGTACGAAATGGGCGTGTGGCATGGGACATAGGGTGCAAGACAGGTGGCCACTCTAGGAAGGTACGTGGGAGGTTACCATACAAAGGGACTCTTTTCACAAGTTGTTGAGGTCCAGGTGTAGGTCCACACACATCAATTTAGGAGTTATCGTGGAAAGCATTGAATAAATTCATTGACTGAGCTCTTGGGGCTCAGCAGTCATTGGCAGATCCCACGAAATACATGGGGTGTTTAATCACATCCTTCACTGTATACATGTAGCTAACTTGTCCTTGCCCACTACACACCAAGTAAATAAATATTAAGAAATGTAATCAGAACTAGTTACTGGGAACTATCTACCTGACACATCTCTGTGAAGATATACTGTCGGAAGAGGTCTACGGAGACGTCTAGATGCATGATGAGATGTGAGATGAGAAGACTGAATATTTAAGAAAGCTAAGAGCTAAGATAGGAATATTGTAGTTAAATAATTGAACGTATGTCTAGGGCTCTCTTCCTGGGAGTGCATCTTGTCCGCGTAGCCGTCATGGACCTTCAGTTCGGTCATGGAGTTGGATGTTTGGGCGACGACTTTTCCTCGCATAGACTTCGAGTGTGGGATAAAAGCTCTTGTTGGAGCTCTCTGGTCACCAACCGTTTATAATGTAATTGCTGTTGTCCTAAATCAAACATTAGTCTCTAGGCACTAGTTATACCATGGTTATTTCTTTTGTGGTATAGTACAAACCTCATCCTAATCCCAAAGCAGACTGTATGCTATCAATGTTTCTGGCAGCAGGTCCTTACGGCGGACCTAAAACACAGCCCAGTATTAGTATCTTCAGGACTATGTGATGATGTAGTTCACTTACCCTAGTCCTCTACATAGTCTTCGTTGGCTAGTATATGATTGGGGTCACATAGATATTGTAATAAGGACTTGGAAAGGTCGATTGGATTGTTTGTATAGGGCATTTAGCATATGTAGATTAGGACAATCTCTAGCTAACTCCATACAACATCAATGTACATTGTTTGTATATACTAGATCCTAAGCTCTGTTAAGGACCCCGAGTCTAAGGGGACTCTGGATTAAAGCGTAAAGCCGCGGCAAATGGCACTACATAGAGATACACAAGTAGCGACTGGCTCTTCTCGAAAAAGTAAAGATGAAAAAGCTCAAAGCTTCGACTTCTCCTCCTGTTTCTTCTTCTTCTTCTCCCACCCCTTCTGCGTCGCGAAATTCACAATCAAATTCCAAGTAGCAACTCCAACCCCAACCGGCGGTGCAACCAACAATGTCCACGCCCACCACCTTGGACTCGATGCTGCAATACTAGTCATAGCTTCCTGGACAGCAACCTCCAGCTCTGCCTTGTCGGCATCATTCCAAACTACCACTCCGCGCCCCGTCTTTGTCCCCCGGAACTCTGCCTGCGTCGCTTTCGTCCGTACATCGCCTTGACTCCGGACCCGGTTCTCCGCGTCCTCAGCTGTAAGGTGTGCATCACGGGCGCGCAACCGCGCCATTTGGATTTCAGGATCGTGAACCCCGACCACAATCACCGTTCCGCAGATGAGATCCATCCCACTCTCAAAGAGAAGCGGTACATCTAGAACCACCGCCCATTGGCCACGCAGGTAGTGGTAGATCAGGGCTTTGTAGATTTCCCACCGGACAGCGGGGTGGACGATGCCGTTGAGGACTTGTCGGTCGCGTTTGCGCTCTTCCGTGCTGCCAAAGACACGTCGCCCTAGCGCCGGTCGGTTCAGTGGCTTTCCGTTCGGATTCGTGGGTGCATCTTCCAATAGTAGATCTGGTGTGCTGGGACCGAAGTAGTTGACGATTGCTTTGTAGCCTGCAGTGCCGGGTTCAACGACTTTGCGGGCGAGGAGATCGGCGTCGATTATTGGGAGGGAATAGGGTGGTGTAGAGAGGATAGATGAGACAGTTGACTTGCCCGTTGCTATTGAGCCTGTAAGCCCGATGATCAACATTTTGGCGAGAGAGTGACAGTTGAAAAGTCCAAGTTGCAGAATGCGGGGAGGCAATTAGCCTCGGCTCTGCAGGAATGTTCCATGTACGTCACTGATGTTATACATCAAAGCAGGTACGGAGTGCATTGAGAGATTATTCTCTAGATTCTCGAATTTGCTTCCAAAACTAATTTGCTATATATTCGATTGTATCTTCCGGGAACACCCTTAGCAGTCTCGTTGCGACCGATATCCTCGCTTATAGAGATGCAACCTAGAGCACTGCAATTTGAGAGCGCATATACGTATAGTGCCTAAGGTAGTGAAAAAGGGGGTCGGCTTATATGGCTGACTTTTTTTTTTTTCAATCCATCACCGAATTCAAGTTTCCGGCAATCCGTGTGAAGTGTCTTGTGCTTGGCCCTTCCATCCAATCTTCGGCCACCCCTTGGGCAGCGAGGAGAATGGTGGCAGGGAATAGCGGTCATCACAGCCACCTTCCCATGGGCAGGTCAGATCGCACAGTCCAAACACTTTGCAGTAACATTCCTGCGCATTGGGGCAATGCACAGGGTCCTTTCCAAATATCACTGGAGAAAAATGTTAGCTTTCGATCGGTACCGAGAGGGTTACAAGAGAACCACGTACTATGCCATGAATATTCCATAATTCGTCCACTCAAATCATCGTCTAGCGGCGTTTCCATTAGCCAGGTGCGGAAGCGCTCGTAGTCACTGCGTGGCCGTTCCAGCGCTTTAGCGCGGGACACACCAAACTGCGCGCAGCACGACACGCCTACCTCCTCCGGGATTGGGACCCCAGGGAATAGCGCCATGAATCCATGTTTGAAGTACTCGCCGGCGTGTACGTCGCCGCGGTGCTCATCGGTGAGAGGACGGATTTCTGCCGGACATCCGAGGGTCCAAACACATCGTAGGTTGACGTACCCTTGCTCTTGTAGGTATGGGATCTGGAAGTTCTGGAGCGGTGGGATACCGTCGTAGTACGGGTCGTCGTTATGCCATTGGTAGCGTTTCGAGTGAATGAAGAGCATCGTTTCCGGTAGGTTATCGTAATTGTCAATGATGTATCTAGTTTAACAGTTCGAGTCAGTATGAGGTACGCAGGGTAACACACATTCAGTGTCGGACTCACGTCAAATAGACCATTGACTCCCGGCCCTTGTTGCGGGTCACCGTCAACGGCGCGTGCTTGTCATCCACCACGTAGATACTTTTCGTCCAGTCGGGGAAGTATTCTGAAAGCCATGACGTGTCATCACTTTTCATACTGGCGACAATCATATTCTTTTCTCTCGGTACCGGACGAGCCAGCTCGCCTGTTTGTTTCGCCGATCCATGTTTCTGCGCATAGCTACCTGCTTCGGTCTTCACCTTCACGGGGGACTTTGCGGTTGTTGAAAAGAATAAGAGGTATAGAGCGATGACGATGAAGATGGTAAGGAAGATAGCCTTCATCCGACTGCGACGTCGGGGGCCTTGTGGCCCACTAGGAGCGAACAACATGTTGGATGGAGGGCAGTCTGCCCGGGTGGTCAAGTCATTGAGGGGAGGAGAAGTGGACGATTAACGGGAAATCGAGGCTCCGGGGGGGAGCTCGAGAAATCTGGGGAAGAGAATAGAATATACTTTGATACTAATCAGATGCTATTCATGTAGTACTGCGTAGGTCATAAATCGTGTTGGAGACATCTGGAGGTTAACGTGTCGCAAGTTGGAGTTCTCCACAAAAAGCCAAGCTCTATGGCTCTACACTTGACAGCTCCGAACTTCTAATTATAACAGCTATAACAGCTGAAATATATGAAATCAAGCTTATTTGTATAATAATTAGAAGTATATATGTTAACACGTTAATTTACTGATGTGTTATATGTCGAATTCGTCTAACCAAAATATATACATCGCATATACTGGCTGTCCCACCTGGACATGCTATATATTCACCTCCCTATTGGCATGCATCAATATGTCCCAAGTACCAATTATGTGCCTCAGTATCAGCCTTCGACGTTCCCGCATTTCCAGCCTTCGAGCCCACACCTACAATGACATCAATATCAGACGAAGTCACTGTCGCCTCGTCAGCACTAGTAATCCAGTACTCGGGACTGGAGTGGCTAAATCCAGCGAACGCAGGTGGCAACTTAGGCACCAGGTCAGCTGTATGCGTGATTCGCCAGAGACTGCCTTGATCCGTCATATATTGAGCAAGAGCCTCATTGCCCACCCGTGGTGAGGCGTAGGAATACTATCGTCTGTGAGTATACGCTGATATCAAGGATCTTTAAAATATGAAACTTACCACCTTGGGTGTGAATCCTGCATTTCGAAGCACAGTACCTCCCACCGTAGCAATAGCTGCGCCAAAGCTGTGGCCTGTCATGATGAGAGTATAGCCAGGGTAGGTTGTCTGTGCGGCTTGGATCTTGGATGTCAGATCGTCCGCGACAGTCTCCCAGGAGTCCCAGAACCCGCCGTGGACTTTACAGTCGCTGCATATACCAGTGTCGTCGTTCAAGCCAAAGTCGATGTTCGCGATCCAGGTACTTAATGTGCGACTACCTCGGAACGAGACGACGAGCAGCTTGTTTGTTTTGTCGACCGCAAGGAAGCCGGCGACATCGCCATAGCTGATTTTCCTGATAGGTGTCACTATATAAGCGAACAGTCCCCGAATGTCTGTGGAAGTTGGTTTCGTACTTATCAAACTCATATAGAGTGGTTGTGTCCGCGGCTTCCACTAATGGACAGTTGCCTTCCTCGCAAGATAGCGCATCGCCGGTTGAGTTGTTATTGTTCGTGCAGTATGACGCCCCAGCCCACTGAGAGTATAGGGTCAATTGGCCAAGCAAATCAGCCGACACATCTGTTGCTTGCATCAGTCACTGGAGGGCAGGAACAAAAGACAAAACGTATATCCATACCTCGAGGAACAGAACGAGAAGGAGCAGCAACTGTCAACACTGCAAGAGCAGCGGTGCCCCAAAGCCGACCAAGAAGAAGCATTATGAAGATCGCTTTCGGAGTAAAGCTGTCTCAACGAGTATGCACACACCTAGAGATAGCCATGCAGACATGGCTCTCTTATGTATCCTCGGCGAGTCCGTATAGCTCCCAAGCCCTTTTACCAAGCGGGACATATTAACTAGAGCGGGGTATAGCCCCCATTCTTTTGTAGAATAAATTGTTTGCCGGACTCAGCTCTATCTCCGTTCTTATTTCACGCGTGACCGATGGGACTCCGGTGAGATCGACATGGAATGTAAGCACCTGTCGAGTACATCACCAGGAATGTAACCCTGCAGAAACATCGGATGAATGGATGATGAGCTACATATTAAATGGTGGAGTTATTCCATCCAGGGTGAGGTTAGGGCTGTGATGGGCGCTTAATTGTGTCTTGTAGTGCAGGAGCCCACGGGTTTCATCCCGCCCGACGATTATTGCTCCATACGATATAATTTCCGTGAAGATGAATACTTTGGGCACTTTGCAGGTCGGGTAAAAGTAGCTTGCAGGGTTGGATGATTGTTGGTTGGTTGTTGATTGGTTTCTGCTTTGCTAACTTGGCGCCCCAACTGCTCAGTTGTTATTCGACAATCTTATCTCACAGCTCACATATTAAATGTCCATAAAATCCCAGCCACTTCGACCCGTGATCGAATAGGATGACTACAATAGACGGGATATTTAACATGTACTCCGTACTCCATATTGTCATAAGAAGCGTAAAATTGATTTGACTGGTTGTGTTTCAATGGGACTTTTGTTTTTTCCGTTTTCTGCTCTCTCGAAAAACATCCCATTGGCGAATTCCCATCCTCGCCAGTCAGAACCGTATCTTGTTCATCATCGCTACTAGCAAAGGAACCTTGGCCCCCGGGGACACGCGGTGCTCTGGCCCAAAGTAGGCTTAGTTAGTGTTCATTGTTCTTGCAATCCCCACTACTGGTGAGATTCAATCTTCATTCCCTCCTCAACGCCAGTCATACCAGTGTCCTGTCCGTCATTTGTGTTATCGCCGTCAATCAGAACTCTGGGGGTGAGAGTGACACCAGGAGGCAACGGGGTGCCAGGAGTCACTGCAACAATGTTGTCGTTCTCATCAACCATTTCAAAGTTGTATCGCGATAGAAGGTGGGGAATTGCAGAAAGTTGAGGGCCATAGCGCGCAGTATTATCATACAGCTCGAACAGCGGCACGGCGAGAAGTTTCATGTTCTTTGGGACCGAGAGAACCTCTGTAGCAAGTGGCTCGTACGTAAGCAGTGTTCATCGGAAGACATAATGGGGTAGAACTTACTCTTCTTCGGGAGGCGAATGAAGTACAACTTCTTGCATTCCTTGGGACGCGTGACATGTCCAGGGAGGAACGGGTACATGAAAGTCTCGAAGTTGGGTCGCCACCATTGCGCAAGTGTGTCGCTAATTTCCCAGTCATCATTAACACCTTCGCCGGAGAACTGAGATCCCACAGGTGCGAGGCGCTCATTCAGCCGTTTCTTAAAACCTTCAATCTCGTCGTCTTCGTGGTGCAGATAATCGCCGGGCCTGAGGACTATTAGCAGTGAATTTTGAATATACACAACTAAAGCAGGAGAGCATACAGCTTAAAGAACGCATTGGCAATCTGCAGCATCAGCACGTGTGGATGGTTGTGCTCGTGACACACCAGGATTCCCTCACAGGTCCGTCGCATTCCATGCAGGCCATAGTGCTCTTCTAGGCGCTTCAGCCGTGCTAGAACCGAAGGGTCCTCTTCTGGCTGTGTCTCCTTGGTGCCGAAGGTATAGTTCGAAAGGGGGTACAGGCGGACAGTCTCCGGCTGCTGCGCAGTGAAGTCCTTCGGGACAATGGGCCTAGAAGTCATCGTGTCAGGTTGTAGCATTCGAAAACTGCAATGTTGAATCGAATATCTCGGGTACTTACGGAACACCGCTAACAGGGGCATCCCTCGTAGTAGCCATTTTGATGGAGCGATTTGCTGTTGTGGTCGAAAAGGACAAGAGCTCCCCAAGCTCCGATGTCACTTATCGCTTATCAGCGTTGACCGCCTTCCCAAATTTGATATCTAAACAACATAAGAGGCATCTACTATACCAACACTATAGAGCCACTGTAAGAGAACTGATCTGAATGTATTTTATTCGATTATTGTCCATCTCTGGAAGTGAACTATATCAATTGACAAACACCTCGACTCTCCCATTCATGCAACCATCCAGCCCAACACCAAACCTATTCCCCATGTATACCATTTATAGCTTGGCATCAAAATCCTCATATTCGCTCAAATCCGTCACAGGAACGGGGCCAGTGCTAACAGGCAAACGTGCCTTGAAGGTCGGCACGTCGGTGATAACAACAGCTTTTTGAGCCTCGCCGTTGCCATTAGCCGCACCCTGGATGTCACTGCTAGAGCCAAGACCCAGCTCCTTTAACTGGGAACCAAGTTTCTCATCCAGTGTCTCAAGGACTGGCTCAATTTTCTGCTGTGACAGGCCTGCCTCAGTCGCCAGGAAGTTCTTCACAACAAAGATAATCTGAGACTTGTCCACTACTGTCGTTTCAACCTCATCGAATGCCGCTGTGAAGCGGGCAGAATTCACGTTGATATCAGCGGCTGCGAGATGCTGGGAGACTACTTCGATAAGGCGTGTTCTCTGCTCGGCTGGTTTGGGTGCCTCAACCTGCGCACCTGACTGGGCGTTCATGTGGATGGCGAGCTTAGCCCGCGTTGGCGAAGAGGGGTCGATGTATTGTTGATAGAAGGCAACGAGATCCGCCTTGGTCAAGGTGCGCACATTGGCCGCGTCGGTCTCGTGCTGCAAGAAATCAAAGTACTCAGATCCGACATGCGACCAGTATCGGCCAGTCTCAGAGCCTAGGTTCTTGAGTTTCTCCAGGCGCTTGTTCACGACACTCCGCTTGTGACCCTCGAATTCTTCTTCGGGCATCTTCTCGAGGGTGGGGCCGAACTCGCGGAGGAATGTCTCAATGCGCGATTCGAGATATTGTGCGGTGCGCTCACTTTGGATAATGACCCGGTAGCCCAGGGTGGTGGCGTTGTAGCGTGCGCCACTCCACACCACATATCCGAGCTGTTCCTTGCTGCGCAGCTGGTCGAATGCAGGCTCATCAGTCAGCTGCGCAAACAGCTGGAGCTTCGACCGCAGAACGTCATCGGAGAAGAGCCCAATATATAGGTAGTACTCAATGCAGTGGTTGACGTTGGCCGGGTCCTTAAGCGATCGGGGGTAAACATAGTTGGCACCGGGCGGCAAGGTCATGTTGCGGCGCAAGTACCACTGCGATGGAGGTAGAGGACGGCCACCCAAAATCTTCTCAATGGAGTCCGTCATACGCAGGGCATCCTCCTTGTACAGGTTTCCGTGGGCCAGGACTTCGATGTGGGTCTGCTCAAGCAACTGGGGGAAGAAGTTGACCACATCGGCGCACTCAACATGCTCCAGCTCCTCAAGATACTGCTCGTTGACCCAGCTGCGCTCGGCAAGGAGATAGCGAGTATAATCTCCGACCTGGTAGTAAGGCTGCTGGTACTCGGCGTTGCGGAATGCCCGCGTCAAGCGCTCTTTGATTATGTCGAACCGATCCTGGTTGACCACCAGCCCACGCATGGTATTGAGTACTTTATCCAAAAGAGCAGACATTTTGTCGTTGTATCCGCTCACAGAAATATCTAAGCCCAAAATGTTTGCCGAGAGATGATAGTCCAATCCAGCAAGCTCGGCGTCGTAGGAATATTCATCTAGCGAATCTCGTACCAACTCGCTGTACAGCTTTGTTTTGATGAGATTGGCGGGTGTAGCCCACACCAAAGGATTGCGGAGCGTTACCTCGACAGTAGCCTTAGGCACCCAGAAACGGTCATCCTTCTTGAACCACAGGCGCACCCGGTTGTCATGGCGAATCAGCTTAGGGGTGTTGGCTGGCTCGACAACCTCCTTCTTTTCCACCGAGAGTCTGGTCGGCACAAATTCGTTCTTGTGGGGCATGTGCACGTTGGAAGTGCGGGTAGCCTCAGTCGAATCTAGAGCCTGCTGAAGACCGCCCAAGAACTCCTGTGGGATCTTCTCGACCTTGTATTCGGTACCATACCACTTCTCCTTCTGATCCCATGTACCAGGGAACTCCTGGGACACAACGACAAGGCGGAAGTTGTCAGCCCGCAGATAGCTTAGCGCCTTCTTGATCAGGTCAGAGTCAAATCGTCTCAACAAAGACCCGCTCAGCAGCCATTCACTAGGCAGTGACTTTTGCATAACGCTGCTCAAACGGCTGGTGAACCGACTAGCCGGGGTCTTCTGCTTGAACCGGAAATCGACCTCGGCAAGGTTCTTCATCTCGTCGAAGATCCATTGCTCGGGCTCGCGTTGCTTGATCATAGCGATATACTCGAAGACGACGTTTGCGACTTCCTGGTATTGCTTCAGACCTTCGGGGGTCAGGCGCACTGAAATAGTGAAAAATGCCGACCCGGCACAGACAGGCATGGCACCTGCAGACAGGCCATTGGCCCACCCCTTGGCCTTGAGGTAAGAAAGCACACTGCCCGGGCCCTCATGGCCAATCAGATGGCTGATATACCGGCTAGGCTGGGTGTCATGCAAATCCTCCTCATCAATGAAGGGGAAGTACATATCCATGGATCGAGTATCCATGACCGGCTTCACGAACACCTGGGTGCACATATCCTCCTCAGTGAAGGGCTGAACATCGTCCCAACGGTTCTGAGCAAGGTTCTTGTTCTCGACATCAGAAAAGAGCTCGGAGACCCACTGTTCCAGCGTGTCCAGAGACTCCCGCCCCAGGACGACCAACTTCGCCCGGTTGGCTGAGTAGTGCTTCTCGTAGAACCGAATGAACTCACTGCGGACTTCCAGACCACGTTTCTGTGGATCTTCTTTCAGCGTCTGCAGGTTACCAGTCGAGAAATGGCTGTAGGGATGTTTAGGGTTTGAAAGCGACTTGTTCAGTTGCATCAA